ATATCATCGATATGCGCTCACTAGTGAGATACCGATTTAAAGACCTCTTTAAACATAAGAAGATAAATTCCATATCCGAGATGTCCTTGCATTATTCTGTTCATCATGTAAACAAGTACCATGTATATATTGTTTATCTCTTCTTGCTATAATTTTCATATTTAGGACAGACCATTAGAACTAACCGGAGGTAGGGTGACAATTCCCCCAAAAAACTCCTGCAAGGGAAGCTTGTCTACAAAAAAAATCCTGCGAGCGGTGAAACGTAAAAAAAAATTCTTGCAGAGGAAGCGACATGCATAGTAGCATTTAAGGTTATTGAAAGTATGGGATAAGGGGGGAAAGGTAACATAAAACAGTGCCTAAAGATACAAAGAGAATTGAAATTCTTAATTTGTGCTTCTGCAGTACTTTTATTTGAAAACAACTGTTTGACATTTCTTCATACAACAAAACATAAATAATAATGGCTGGCTTACTACACAGTCATCATTACCCCTGAGGATATTAATTGCTGTCACAAATAATTATACTATAAAATATCTCTCTTCAGATGTAAAATGTATTTCAAAATCTTTTTGATAGAACATTAACTGTAATATAAGAAATATAACATTTTCTCAACTATACTAAACCTGGAAATTTTCAACAATAAATAACAGTATAATTTTGTGTTAATATACACTAACAACCATCAAAACCACAAAACGTATTGGTGCATTGAAGTGCCTCTGTTTCGATATATTTGAATAATAACAATCTATATTATGACTCAATTATATAATGGAAATTCCCAATAATAAATATCTGACCGTGTAATTTTGGTTTAAATTAGAAATAGTAACAATAGTCAAAATAACAAAATATACTGGATCAAGTGAAGTGCTATTGCTTTTTATTAATAACTAGTGATATTCTGGCTCAATTCTGAAGTGGAAATTTCTACCAGTAAATAACAGTACATTATTATTTGTTTCCGAAACAGTAACGACTGACAAAATAACAAAATATGTACACCATATTCCAAAATGGCAGGTATTTTTTTGTCTTATAATATGTTAATTGGCCCTCAATGCCATGTTTCAAGGTACCCGGGTAGTAGTCTCTCTCTCTCAGTTATTTCGGCAGATGCCATTGAGCGCCTAATTATCGTTAATGAAAAAGTAATCTTGCTACTATTTTTGGATAAGCTATATTGCACAAACTGTAGTGCAACTGCTCTTTCTTAAATTAAAATAACAATCCATGAGATTTATATTTCGGATGGAGTAAGGGAAGGCCTCGAAAAACGGTTAGCAGCAAATGTTTACAAGTAATATCGAGACAAAGTAATTTTGAGGGACTTGAAAAATGCCTTGAAAAACAAAATTTAAAAAAACAACAACAATAACAACAACAAAAATCAACTTCAAAGCAGTTGTCAACGCTTTGAGACGCAAGAGAACATGGTGAAAGAAAAGTTTGGAAGAAACTGTTTACAAGTATCAGAAAAAAGAAGGAAAGAAGATCAGTTTGGTGACTGGGAAAATGCCTTAACTGGGTAACAGTAAAAACAAAAATTCGTGCAAAGCTTGTGCCTCAGAAAAAAAAATCCTGCAGACAAGGGGGCTTAAAAAAATTCAAACTCATGCATTCTAATGGTCCGTTCCTAAATTTGAGCAAACGTATAATGGATGACAAGCGTCGCAGCCGATTTTAAAGACGGCGGTTGTCATAGTAACATTTGTGTGTTGATAACACAAGCAAAATTATCGTATTTTAAAGTCTGTTCAGATAAAGTTTTTCTCAGTGACAGAAATCCTTGTAAAGCACTGTAGTTTGGCTTTTACTCAAGTTTTTTTTTGTTTCCTGACCTGCTTGAATGAATCACTTCATTATTCGTGAAAATGTCCGGTAAGTGGGACTGGTGATTATAATTCCATATCTTTGCTTTGCTGAGTCACAAATTTGATGTTTCAAAGTACAATATTCAAGCTCGATTATCTTATTTTACTGATGCTGCCAAGCAGATTACACTAACGGACCAAAGAAACCAAACTGAAATTCACTGCAAATTGTAGACAAACTTAAAGCAAGGGGCACACATACACCAACTCACGGCCTGGCCAGTACTTGACTTGTGCGTACAGCCATATCACCCAGGCAGTGGCAGCCATGGACAGCTGTTTCGCCCTTATTGGGGCTCATCACCATGGCATAGCCGTCGGGTTTCGCCCTTTCATAGACCCGACTCGCTTAGAGGGTGACCTGGAATCGAGTTTAACACATGTTAAGCCAATCGCCTATCATATAACCCATCAAGGCTACTAACCTCGTTCCCAGGTTCTCTCTCCTACCCGTCGGGACGGGTAGGAGAGAGAACACTGGGAACGAGATTGCAAGGCTGCCTGTCAAAAAGTGTATGAAATGCAAAATGAAACAAACCGTTTGATTACTGAGTCAGTTATGACTAAAATAGCCATTACGCGATGCTTTATAGCATCTTAAAGACCTGAAACATTCATTCGTTTAACGCCCCCAGTTACAGAGGGTGGCATAAATTGAAATAGCCAGCAAAACCTTGGTTGACAAATAATATAATTATGCTTTGAGTTCGTGATATACTAACTACATTTACAAATACAGGAAAAGGAGAGCCAAAAAATATAGACCTACAAATCGAGGCGTTTGATCATTCTTTACTTCGTTGGACAATATGATAGATTTTATCTTACAATTTAAATAGCTCTGGATTCTCTCCATTATCAACCTTATCTGGATAAAATGTCTTTAATATCGTTTATACAGCTGAGCCCGTTATAATTTCCTCACGTATCGAGAAAATGACGTTTTAGAATTAATGAAAGTTGATAACTATCTCAGTGTAAACACGTCACGTTGACAATATTTGTTTTAACCTCTGTGTGCAATGTTCTCAAATTAGTATATAAAAACGACAATTTTTTTCGCAATGAAAACATCGAAAAAGCTAAGGCGTAGGTTATTTTAGAGCTAAAATCATAGATAATTTTCTAATTTTAGATTTTCACCAAAAATTCTACAAAAAAAATTGGTATTTATAGCATCCTTATAAAAAAAAGTATTGAAATTGAAATTAACTTTTTTGTTGCTGTGATACTCTAGATTTATGTGAGAAATGTCATACGTCGTTTTTAATTGGGTTGGTTGGGTTCACGTATGTTAGCCGAGTAAAGATCACATATTCTGATTTCTTTACAGGTTTTGAAGACGCGTATCTTCAGAGCTTCTTAACATTAACTCCCTGAGCATAGCAAGTGGAAAGCAAAGTGCGTTTAATTGTTTACTGCTTCATTATGGGAAACGACATTTCACATGCACACGTTCCTTCAATCCGCAACATTAGAAACAAGAAGCCTGTCAAACTTCCAGCCAAAGGTTAATAGAAAATTTGTTCTCTTTTAACGCTTTTTTTTTCCCTTAAAGGTAATTTTAATACTTCTTCGGGAACACTAGTATAGTCACCTTTCGCCTTGCGGACACCCCGCTAATAATACGGACAGCGGCTAAATCCCGGGCAAAAATATATTACAGACTTTGACTGAAAAAAACTCGGCCCGCTACTACGGACTCTCACCAATGAGGACACCAACTGGAGGTGCCTATAGTGTTCGCTTTAAAAGGAGCTGTCTGTATTACTCGCTCTTTAGGGAATATAAAATGTTAACTGATTTTTGTATCATGTTAATATTCTGATGATATACGCTGTAGCAAAATGTTGTAGGTATCCGATTGTTCGTGAACTGATGAACACAATATTTCAAGCCTTATTTCAAGCTAGAATTGTGCATTTTAGCCAAAAATATATCATCCTGTCAGAAGAATAAATTTTGTAGAATGCTATACAAACCAATTTCACTCAATATCGCTTATCAAGTTTTATTGAATTGAAACTCTTCATTTAATCTTAGAGATGAACAGGCATTTTATATTTTATGCTTGTTGACTCAGCGTTCTCTTTTCAAAGCGTAAACTATTGGACGGAGGACGATTTACAGATAAAATGAAAAAAACGATTCTAAAGAAAGCAAATTAAACTGTTTTAATGCTAATAACTGTTCCTTTTTCCCTTAAACTTCAAATTTATTTTTAAACGGCTGTTGACGTTTTATTCTATAGCTTTTTTGTGTTTTTTTCCCTTTACGAACAATACTCTTTTAGTTAATAACGACTTTAAAATGACCGCCTTTACGACGATTTAATACCATTGCGGCAGTTCGTAATTTCTTCCTAGAATGATAAAGATCTTTTCTTCCTTCCCCAAATCGCGCACCTGTGTCATGATGTCATGGAGACCGCTAACGTCTGCTACACACTACACCCACGACACTACACCCAAGTACCAGCTAAAAATAGCCGCAATTTCAGTCCATTCTTTTATGCCCTTGACCTTATACACAGTTTTAAGAGATCTTCCTTCGCTAGTTATCGCAAAGGAAGACATCAGTTTGATGAGAGGAATAAGGGAGGGCTCCTGGGGAGGGCAAATAGGTTCAACATCTGGCGCCAACTAACAACAGAGGTTGCGCGTGGTCTCCAACGTTCTTCCTATATTGAGACAAATTGTCACGTGAGCCGTCGGAGATTACGTGACTTAAAAGTGACCCTCAAAGGATGAATTACAGTCGACTCCCGTTAATTCGAACCTTCAAAGGAAATAGAAAAAAGTTTGAGTTATCGAGGGTAAAATTATGTAGAAAATGATCTGAAGGGAAATGAAAATTGCGTTGAGTTAACGGGAGGCTCGAGTTATAGAGGGTTCTAGTTACCGGGAGTCGACTGCAGTAACCTACGATAAGTGCTCTCTTTGTTACGCTAAGGTTTCATTAGTTAGCATAGATCTTGTTGTTGAATATTACCCTAATGTTTCTTTTGCATTCTGTTTTTCTTTTTTGTATTTTGTTTTTGTTTTATTTTAAGAGAATCTGAAGGTTTTATGGTTGAACGGGCTTCTTCACGTTTTTTTTTTCTTCACTTTTTTTCTAGATGCCTGTGAGTTTGAAATCCCCAAGCGCTATGATCCTGATGAACGACGTGACTCAAACCATTCCAATAACAAGATTGCCATCAAAGAAATAGACGCTGCCATTTATTCTAATCCAGACATCATTGACGACTTGGCCATTCCAGCTCCCGAGCCCCCCCCCCTGGGGTCACTGATGTTCGAGGTTCGTTATGAAAAATACGAAGAACAGTTGAATGTCCATTTGATAGGCGCACAAAGGCTGCCGGTCAGGCACTTGGTAACCGAGCCAGGCAATGCTTCGCATGGTGGGATCATAAAATGTGATCCGATGGTAGAAGTCTGTTTACTGCCTGAGGAAAAGCCAGTTGTAGAGAGCTACACCCAGTTTGGGATTCAGGATCCAAAGTTTGATGAACATTTTGCGTTTAAGCTCTCTTCCTCTCAATTGAACAACAAAACTTTGAGGTTTACTGTTTATGACCATAAAAGGCGACACAAACTAACGCCGATAGGTCACGTGTTGTACTCTTTAAAAGGACTGGGAAAAGCTGGGGCCCTAGAAGAAAAGATCATCGAAAGAAATCTGAAGCTCAACTCACAGGTAAAATTAAAAGCCACGATGAAATTTCGGTTGTCTCAGTTGTTGTAGTTACTGTTTACCTTTGTCATCGCTATCCCAATCCCGCGCCTGTGCCCAAATTTCGGCGAATCCCACTTCCCGGGTAGCGATCAAATTCCGTATCCCGTTAACCTCTTCCGAATCCCACACTGTATTTTGGTCAAATCCCGGATCCCGGGAGCTCCCAACATAAACTGCGGCACCGTTGTTTTCATCTTTGATTTCCGCCGGCTTTCAGAGTCAGTCTTCTGTACTACTACCACTACTACTGCTGCTACTCTACTACTACTACTACTACTACTACTACTACTACTACTACTACCACTACCACTACCACTACCACTACCACTACCACTACCACTACCACTACCACTACCACTACCACTACCACTACCACTACCACTACCACTACCACTACCACTATCACTGCCACTGCCACTGCCACTGCCACTGCCACTGCCACTACCACTACCACTACCACTACCACTGTCACTGCCACTGCCACTGCCACTGCCACTGCCACTGCCGCTGCCGCTGCCGCTGCTGCTGCTGCTGCTGCTACTGCTACTGCTACGACGACGACGACGACGACAACTACGACGACTAATAATAATAATAATAATAATAATAAATTTATCTCAGCTGGCCGAGCGGGCAAACCAGTTGGCTTTTTACAAGCGTGGTCGAGGATTTGTACTCGCGACCTCCGTTTTCTGAATTGCAAGTCCTGCGTTCCAATCGCTCAGCCACGCTGTCTCCTCTAACTTTGCTCACACTTGCTATAAGAATGCTTAATTAATTTGTTTTCCCAGTTTCTGTTCTTCACAACTCTGCTTACACTTACTCAGCATGGTTTTTGTTTTCTCTTCCTTAGCCTTACGGTCACACACGTGGTGAGATACTAGTGTCGCTAAACTACAACCCAGGATTTAACACCATCACAATAGGAATCGCCAAAGCTAAAGATCTCTTGAACTTTGATGGCCAAACATGTAGAGGTTAGTGATCGTTTTATGACCGTCTATTTCACCAAAAGAAAGATGTACTGAGAAAAATATAGATTTTCAGTTAGTCGAGCAGAAATACCGGAACTGCTTGAATAAAAGACATACAGTATAGCGGGAGAAGTACTCAACATGTAAACAACTGTCCTTCTTGACTGAACAGTAATTTATTTATTTACACTTTATGTCCATTAACTTGAAAATTCATCATTGCCGAAAATTCATTTCCATGGGCTGAATTCACTTTTATCAGTCACTGCGTCAACACCAGGGTCGATTGATCCTCCCCCAATAACAACGATTAAGTTTTTGAGCTCTAGTTTTCCCTTTAAAGTTCTCATGTTTAAATTCAAAACTGTAAATTGACATCAAAACAGTTTTTAAAATACTTTTCGCTCGTTTTCACAATGATGTGCATTTCAAAATCTAGACTCTTGAAAATGTCATTTTTTGCAGAATACTTCGTGAAAGTCACAGAAGTTTGCTCAGGAAATAAAGTCAAAACAAAACGTTCACCTGCAACAGACGGTGAAAGAAACCCACTCTTCAACACTACACTCTCTTTCCAAGTCTCTCTTCAACAGCTCAGACACACGAGCCTGGTGCTGACCCTCGTCGGTCGTGGAAAAATGAGGAGTAAGAATACCGTAGGCCGCGCTATCCTGGGACCCAGTATCTATGAGTCTGATAGCGAAAGAAACCACTGGGGTCGAATGATTATGTCACCTATGAAAACTGTTGAGCAGTGGCATGCGTTATATTTATAATTATGGGTTCGGATTATTCGTGAACATTTCACTCTCTTTCTTGCGTTTACATCACACTGGCCAGGAACCCACTGACAACCAGGAGCGGACAACTCCCTTGTTCCTAAGCAACGGCGTTTTCACAGACCAGTTTAGCTTTAGAAAGATTTTCCCGCGAATTTTCCATATTCGTATACGGAACGGTGTTTTCATTCTCGCGGGAAAAAGTGCTCAAAAATTATGCTAAAAATAACTTCATCTGTGAAAACGCCGTTGCATAGATAAAGGATGGGAGTTGCACGCTCGGGTTTATGGGTTCCTGACACTGGCTTATTTCATTATCAAGCCTTTCTTTGGGATCACAGACAACTCTGTCTTGACGGACCCTTCCTTTCTTTACTCCCTTTATTTGACTCCCTATAAGGAGGACATCTGTCTAAGACGGGCTCTTACAGCCAGTCCCAAAGGTTTCAAAGGTGTTCGTCTTAGAGAGAGAGTCGACAGCATAACATGCGAAGTTTAACAATGAAAAAAAAAAAGCAGGGGCGTAGCCAGCCCATAGACCTGTAGGTCCTGGCCTACAAATTTTTGGTTTGATCACTCTACCGCTTGGAATAAATTATGCGTTGTTGGGGTGAGCGAAAAAGCTTAAGAGCTCAAAGTATTGGTGAGGTCAGTACGTACTAGTCACGTGTGCAGTTTTCAGGAAATGTGGAAATGAAAGTCAGCCAGGCCTACAACTAGTCGAAAAGCTGGCTACGCCCCTGATAAAAAGAAATTAGAAAAAAAGAATTAAAAAGAATTAGTCATTACAAAGGTTGCGTTTGAGATAGGGCTGCGTTGAATTGACTATCTTCGGGGATGAATTTGAAAAACCTCGAAATTGCCAATCAAAGAAGTGATAGGGCTATAAAACAGTCTCATACATGTACGGGGGGGGATCTAGGGGGAGGGTGCAGGGGGTGCGCACCCCCCCACACACACACCCCCTGAGATGACGTGCGGTTTTCTAATACAACTGGTATTCTGCCCAAAAAAAAACTATGTGGTTTATTGGTGTTGAAGTAGAGCAAGAGACGAGTGTACCCCCACCTAAAAAAATCCTGGGTCCGCCCCTGATGTATGCAAATGGCACAACACTGACCTACAGGCGGCTTGTACATGTACTCATTTCCTGAAGACTGAAGGAGTCATGACTAGGGTATCGACTGATCATGATATGATTAGAAAGACTTTTTAACTGCAATTTCTTTCTTTTGAACTGCGATTTCAAATAGTGGATGAAAAATTGCATTCTCTGCAGATCGATGCGGACTGAAATACGAGTTATAAGCAAAATTCATCCCACATTACAACAGGCACGTTTTTTCAGCTCACGAGTTTCTTCGAAATGATATGTTCAAAAATGCATTAAATATCTTCTCTAATTTTGTCACTGCAACATCTAGCCAAAAATACAGACTGATTACGGAGAGTTTAGGTTTTCGGTTAGGCTAGAAAGTTGAGGTCAGGAGTGCTGGGGGACTTTATTTGATATCAGTAAAACTATCAACTCTCTTCTCCCGCCCCAAAAAATGTTGAATTTTTAGCAAGATGGATACGTAGAAGGGATTTGCTAGCACAGATTGCATGGTCAAGTTATGTAAACCGAAGTCGAGTCAATGTTTACTATTACAATTACATTCAGAGAGAAGAGACGCATGTGAAGAGATTTCCTGGAGCAGCTCAAGTTTCTTTTGACCTCCACTATAGCCTGCCTCTGTATGAACGCATTACCATTTTACCAAGGAAAAAGGGGGAATCTCATTGACAGGGCTTTTATAACGGTTGCTCATTTAATACTTAGGGACCAGTTTATACCAAAAATGGAAAAAATGTACATCATTGATATGAAATCTTATTTCAACGATAAATGCCATTTTCACTAAAATGGAAATTGTACATATTCTAAAAAACACAAATACATGTTATTTTTATCATTTAGTTTTGTTTTATCTTTTAGTTTCCACGAAATTGTGAAATACAAATGGGTGAGGTCGTGAGGGTTGATGGTGGTCGGGTTGAGGCTTGGAAAGTAGTTTTATTATTATTATTATTTATTATTTATTTTTTTTAGCCTTTACATTCACTGTGGAGTTTCAAGTATGTTATTGCATAGCCTACTAAGATAAATAAGTTTAATCCTCATCTCCATTATCACTGCTGGGCCTTAGCTATAATAAGACGAACCAATTAACTTGTATGTGCCGAAGAGGCTGTGGATTTTTTTTTTAAAGTAGCTATGAAAGAAAGTGCTAAATTTTTGTTTCCTGATCATCTAATGTTGCCTTGGTAGGTATTTTGGTCTGACTAGGCCTTGCTTGAGTGGCTGCATGTTTTTGCTGGCTAGCAGGGCTCCATTTAAGTTTTAAATCAACGGTGACGCTTTGCTAAGAGAGAAAGCTTCAGCAACTTCGACGGTGATGACAGCGAAAACGTCATTTTAAAAGAGAATTCTTGTTGTTTTAATCTTCAACGCTGTTATTCACCTCAGTCTTTCATCCAAGTTTAAACAAAAAAAACGAGAGAATGAAAAAATGAAAAAATCGTCGTCTTGTATTTAGGTCCTAAGCGAAACTTGAAAGTTGGAAGTTGAGTTTGGAAGTCGTGAGTGTGTAGTAACCACAAGGAAATGTACCAAAATGAATGATACACTTACTGAGTTGTTGTTTTGCTTATGAAACCTCTCGCTTTTTGACGTTTACGTTCTCTTGCCTTCGGCGTTTAGGAACCTCACTTTTATTCATGTATGTATTATATGTCTGAATATTATGAGAGCGTACTTATCAATGTGTCAGTGTAATCGAAAAAAATTATAATAAAGAAGGCAACACAAATAGCTGCTTTTCACGTTAAATATGTATTGAGAGGTATCTGCAAAATCAAAAATTTAACGGTGAGAGAACACTATTGGTCGACTCGGACATGCGCGGAAACTTCATCCTTAAACTAGAATCTTCCCTATTAGTATATACTAAAACAGTGGATAGTGTTTTTCTCGCGCTCTGATTGGCTACTCAATCAGTGAATATCCTGCACTATTCACTGATTCACCTCCAGTTCCTCGGAGCGAGCGACGGCAAACTTGCGTAAGTTGCAAGCAAAATGCCTTCCCGGTTTGCTGCCGTAAACAAACAAAGAAATTTCACAACTAATCAAGCCAGCTGTTTCCGAAATACACGAAGAAGGTGACAAAGTTCGGATTGGAAATTTTAACAGGTAAAGCTTTGTCTTTTTGACACGAATTTATCGATAAAACCGGTGAAAAAGTTTTTTGTTTACAAATGCAAATTAAGCTGAAGTCTTGCTTACTTTATTTAGTTGAGTTGTTCATAAATAAGCTTAAAACTAAATTTAATAATCTTTTTTTATAGAATGATTTTAAATACAAAAAGAATTCACAACTCATTTTGAAGAAATTTCCCCGCAAGAGCTAAACAAATGCCTTCAAAAGTTTTAGTTGTCGGCAAGAAAAAGCGACGGCCGCGGCCGCGGTCATTACGCGCCAAAATTGTAATCGTTGGCAACAGTATTTGATCAGTTAAAAATCGTCATTTTTGTGCTCAATTATCTCACTGTTTTAGTATATACTAAAACAATTATTCACCTCAGTGTCGGTGGCTAGTCGTGGATATTTACCTCACTGCTTCGCAGTTCGGTAAATATCCAGGACTAGCCACCTCCACTTCGGTGAATAATTGTTATTTATTCTTCAAGATGCAGTGGGCAAAAATTGCTAATGTCTCTGGGTTCAAATTATTTCCCTGAAATATTGACTTTAAGTAACGGTACCCGAAACGGTGGGGCTTTATTAGAGAGTTTAAGATTCAAATTTTAGACAGATAAAACTTCCATTTCTAACACGTGACGAAGTTTCCCCTCTAAGGTAAGGACAGTTCAAGTTTTATCTGCTCATTTCCAGATGTATAAGAGAAATTGTCAACTTGAACTTGCCGTTTGCTGCATTTGCCGTAAACGTGAGTCTAAGAGTCTCTATTAATTAACGATTGGATCGTGAGGCAGCGTATGTCGAGATCAATGAAGCACGCGGGAAGTTTGAAGAAAACGAAAGAGGTGTAAGAGTTGCTCGAGGTTGCAGCCGAGAGTAGCTTTAGCCTCTTGAGATTATTCTCTCCTGCGGATACCATGCTCCGCGTAATAGCCATGCAAGGTCAACCTTAGATTTTTTATCTGATTCTCTAGCATCCTATACATTTTAATAACGCCGTTACGTTTGCGTATCAGTGTTAAGGCACATAGTGAGACAGAAGAACGGCCACACAGTTTCCGACCTGTTGTTATTTAATTTCAGCAGAAGTTTCACTAACGAAGAACAAGTGAGCCACTTTTACAGTGCTACCGCTAATGTAGACTGTTCACAGTCCCCTATTTTTACGTGAGATCGTTTCGATATACCGCGTCTTACCGTCACGGCTTTCTCGATTTTCAAATGTACCGAGGGGGTGGACGTTGGGGATTATAGCTCTAGGCGGGGGGGGGGGGGGAAAACCCCCCCCCAAACCCCCCCCCCCCCCTATTAGTTTTAAAACCTTTGAATTTGGGAACCCCAAACGCCAAATCCGCTGCTCTCGAGAATTTTAGGGAAAAATAGAGGAATGCGAACAATCTCCCGCTAATGTCAGGAAAATCTTAAATTTTTATTTGACAGCTGCACACGTTATTGTTTCTTTTCCGTCCCCTTTTTTTTACGGTGAGTCCCTTTAGTCACCCCCCGCCTTCCTGCCAGGGTTTTGTTTTTTTCCAAGTGTCGGGGGGGGGTGGGTGGGGGGGTTGATGGCCGGGGGGGGGGGGGGGGGGCAAACCTCCTCCCAAACCGCCCCCTCCCCCTAGTAGTTTTGACACTCATGGATGATGGCAGCCCGTAACGCAAATCGCTCGATCTTGATGATCTTAAGGAAAAATAGAGGACTGCGAACAGTCTACCGCTAATGTCAAGGAAATCTTGAATTATTTCCGCTCTAAAATGTCGTTAACATTACTTGGTCTCCACGGGATGATTAAAAAAAAAAACACTGGAGCCAAACACAGCGGGTTCGCATTTTTACTAACAAGCAAACATCATGAAAATTTCCTTGACTTCTTATTGGCTGATTAAACGCATTTGTCGTGCAATAAATACGACTGTCAAGCTGTCATATTCTCTTATTAAAGATGAAACGTTCACCAGAAAAGGTTTTCTTCTGCCTCTAAAGAGGTAAGTTAAAGGCTTGTAGAATACCGTCTAATTACGTAAGCCAAGTTAAAATTGAGTCTACTTACAGACTGGGATATCACATTTAGGACCTTGCTTTAGCATTTTCACGGAAGTCAGTTTTAGCGACATTTAGTCTTTATTGACATAGAGCGCTTTATCGCACGAAAAAAGAGATGTGGAGAATCATATTCTCTTAACAGCACGAGTAAGGTAAAAAAAAACATGTGTAATTTGCTATGCTAAGAACCACGTACAGATAGGCAAGAGTTAACCACAGCAAGAGTGAAGTCCACTTCATAAACCCTTTATTAGAATTGTCGTCACTGTGAAATGTTGCGCTAAAGAAATATGAATTAAACCCTTTGGTGACGGCCAGAAAGTAGCGAAAAAAAACCGCGTTTTTCACCAATTCCTTTTTCTTGGTCTGGTTCTCGGCTTATTAGCATGGGTATGGCTTAAAATGAGTTTTGCAAAAATAAGGGCATATCTTCCAACTAATCGGATGTAATTAAGCAGCGTTTTTTTTGTTTTTCACGCATGCTCATAAGCCAATATTTGGAATTTCTCTTTTATTTATTTACTTTTTTTTGCGAATCTACTCGATCTTTCTTTCTCGCTCTCTTTTTCTCCTTTGCCTTTCCTTTTTATATGCTTCAGTTGTTACCCGCTTTATCGTCTTAGTCTTTTGCATGGAATTGTGGCTTGCTAACTTTTTAGGAAAGGAGCAAATTTAAACTGCAAAGAGTAGTAGGTAAACAGCAAAATTACTAATGGATTTTTCCCCAAAATATTACTTGGTTATTTGTATGTAACCCTGTCAGGATTGATCAGAATATCCAAAACGAAGTATTGGTGGAAAGATCTATCTTTGCTGACGTCCTTGCTTACCAGCTTATTAGCTCGAACTGAAAGCTAAATGGGTCCAGGAGGGAAAATATGCATCGTCCCATGTAGAATGAAAACGACCAAAGGGTAAATTTGTCTGAAGAAAGTTCAAGAAATCCCCTGTAGGCCAAACGTTTATGGTTGCTTTTGTTGCTATAACAACCAACAAGAGTTAACCAGCGAAAGGGAGGTCCACTTCATTATCCTTGAAGTAGAATTGTCGTCAGTGTGAATTTGTTGCCGTTAAAGAAATATACATGTAATTTGCCTGAATCAAATTCAATAAAACCCCTGAATGGGCTAAAATCACTGTGATATGCTTTTTCAGTTGCTACTACAACAACCCTGCAGGAATCGAAGTAACTTGCTACATTCTCACCAAACTCCCCACTTACCTCGCCTCTGCTTCGCGCTTCTGTGCGTTTTCTTGTTTTCACATATGACACATGTCGCTCGCCGCTATAAAATATTCGCTTATTGCGACTTTTACGAGTGATGAGAAGTTTTCTTTGCTAGCTGGCTTAACAAGAAACAATCATTGGCAGTATTCTTAAAGGTTTCGTCTCGACTAAAATTGAGATCCGATATTAGGTTTCAAGATGTTCTTTTACGGATAAGGAAACACATATAGACGTTTTTAAAACGATTATGCACCAGTTAAGAAAAAGATATATTTACGTTTCAAAATTCTAAACTTAGAAAATATATTCACCATTCTAATTCTTTACGGCGTAAATTTGAAGAAGATAAGGACGTGCAATACTGCTAATCTTTTTTCTAAGAAAGTAAAAATAATTCTGATTGTCGAAATTAAAGAACTTGATTTAAATCTGGGGCAAGTTTAAGACCAAAAAAAGAGTGCAAGAGTCCCTCTGCCGGTGCAAAGAATGAACTTAATGCGAACAGTTCGACAGTATTTCGGCAGCGTTTTAACTTTTACACTATAAAGCAAAATTTTATTAACTTCTGAAACATATTTTAACCAAATAGGAGTTTAATTTGACAAGCAGTTGGAAATGAGAAAACTGTTGATTAAAAGATAGTAAGTTTTATGAACTGATCGAATAAATATTCAATGAGAGTTGAACCAGCTGCAACGTGGACACTGAGAGAAATTTAAATTGCAGATTGGTTTGAATGTAATTATATGCCTAACAATCGATTCACTGAGAGCCTTTTTTATTATCCGAGACATCGAGCCAAGCGTGTCATAACTTGAACGTAAACCGCTCCATGTTAACTAGGAAAGATTTTCTCGACCCTTCTCACAAGAATGGTGAGAAGATTCTATGAGAATCGAAACCTTTCTGATAACTCAACCACCTTTGATACGGCTTCTGAAACACACCGCTCTCCGAGAGCTAAATGTAAGTATTAATTCTTTACGACCGTATACATTATACAAAGTGAATTATGTTTTTCTTCCTGATACCTAAGTTATGTCTACCATTGCGGAGATTAAGTGATAAAAATACCGCCAAGAGTTAGACTAAAAGACTCCGACAGCTAGTTTATGCTGGGCCACGGCACGAAACAAACGCATATATACAGTCTCCCCAAATATAATTTATTACAAATTTAAGACAAACTTTTCGGCTCTAAATTCGGCGAGATTCCCCATTTATTTACTTCGATATTTTATGGTCTACCTAAAAGCAGCCTCGAGCATGACAAAAATTTTCATCCGCCTTCTTTCAGATTCACAAGTAAAAAGACAAACGAAGAGAACTCTCCTCATTTTCGCTGGATTTGCTTCACACTTTTTTCCTTTACTTTTGCTTTCCCTCAGCTGATGGAGAACGTTTAAATAAAAAATATCGTAATTTATTCACCAGTAGGAGAAAATAAATATGACAGTTTTCAGTTACTATCAGCTTTTTATAACTTCTCAATCGCTCGCTTAGTTTATACCAGTTTATAGCTGGGTGAAAAAATATCGATAAATATATACTCTAGATATTTAACGTATGCTCAATCAAATCTTCAGAAGGTAATTCTAGGTTAAGTAAAAAATATGTAACAATTCAACTTTTATAAAATGAATTTGTCGTGAATGAAGTTCAAATCTTTTTGTGATTAATTACACTCCACCATAGACTAAGTTATAAACAATTCAATTATTCGCCAAGAGTTTATCTGCCGACGGAGAAGAAAAATGAATCTTTCATATATGCACTTTTAGGACCTAACTGAGGATGAATTAATCAACCCGACTTGAGTTTAATTCGAATAAAGTAGCGTGGATGTGAATTTGGAAGTCAAATTAAGTTACATTTGCTTTCGCTGTTTGTCTCAGTGATTTATGACAAATACACGGGACTTTTCTAAAAGCTGTTTTTCTTTTTCTTTCGTTAACTACAATTGAGACAAAACATCTAATTATACAACCATCGCTTGACGTTTTCAGCAGTCAAAATGTCTTGAAAAATAGTTAATCATTCCTTTTAGCACTAGTATATTTACTTTCCATTTTCGCGTCGTTTGGCCAGAAGTCACGATAATCGGTCATTTATTGCAAGCCTCTAAACGGCATTTAATAATATACTATCCTTCATAACGTTTGCTGTGAAATAGATAATTTAGAACTCTCATCTATTTCTTCTTCTTCATTTTTCCTTTATTTTTTCTTTTTCGGAGACACATTAGAAACTAAACCCGATCTCTCGAAATCAAATCCCCCAGCTTCCGTTCACCACTCAGTCGGTCAATCACAGTAAGGCAAGAGAGGATATTTTAAAAGCTTTACCCCCGATATTTGCTTTTCTTAAGGTGGTTGAAAAAATCAGGTCGGAAAACATGCATCGAAATCCACTCAGTCCATGTACACTCTTAATTCTAGGCCGCTTTAATTACTAAAGCCAGTATTACTCCAGCAAAACTCTCTAAAAGAAATACAAAGGAAACTGGAACAGACATACTAATAATTCTGTTTTAATTCGACTGGCGGGCTTTTAGTACAACAGCTATACTTCTATTTCTCGATTTAGTTGCTTTTGAAATTTATTGAGTTTTTTTTAACATTTTAAAATGCAATTTTTTTCCTCACTGTCGATTCAACTTCTACGTTTTGTAGCCGGCTGGGAAGTGCAGATGTAATCTTATTAAGACTTCTAAAGTATGGTGATGTTTAACCAACGTTAGAGAAAGAGTAGAAGAAAAGGGTAAAACAAGACTGAAAAAACATACCATATGGTGCACGCATACAAACACACTGCTTCCCTTTCTTTGTATTCGATTGTATCCTTGGCTCACGGCCGCCTGATAATACCAAGAACGTACAAATCTACATATGTCCTTTCTCTGCCTTAATATTAAAAGCATAGTGGAGTATTTAGGAAGCCTATTTCGCAGTCAAAAGCCTTGTTTTTTGTATGTTACGTTTCAGCAGGCTTTTCTTTAAGCATGCTCCTCGCCGAGATTTCATTCCCTCTAAAAATGCCTTTGTTGCTGAATAAAGTTGTGGCACAAAAATCAAAGTTAACGTTGGAGTTTTTTGAAGATTTTTTTAATGATTTGCCAAACAAACAATGGTTGCGTCGTGCAGGAGTATTTTCCTTCTCCTCTGCCCCCTCCCCTCAGTCCTATATTATAAACGTACCCGTCGTCCTCTCCCTTAAAATTAGTCTTTTGCTCGCCCTAAATAACTGTCTAATGAGAAAAACTTGAGAAAGTGGCCAGTTTGAAAAAATATATATTTTCTCTGCCTTCCTTTACATCAATAAAACACTGACTTCTCTTAGCTCTTGAACTGTTTGGTTCTTTGGTTCAAAAACGGAAGCTGTAGGGCATTTAGCCTAACTTGAATCCACACCCCTTCCCCCTGGGGCAGTGTTTTCACGGCAACGCTTTGCAGTTTTCCTTCTACAATTTTCACATCACAAATCATACTTGACTCATCTAATTTCCCCCGGCCGGACACCTTGATCTTTTCAGTGGCAGTGAATGTGGGCGAAAGGCAATTTAAGCGGGCTGTTTGATAAGCCGTTCCTGATCCCCACTAACTATGCCCTATACTCTACAAAACGGATATGAGATAGCCAGACTTGCTCCTTACTTTTTTCCTTCATTCCTTTTTTTAAATTTTAACTTAATAAAAGGCGGATACCTTTCTAAGGCGGACCACTCCTCTTCCACCTTAGGGCTGAACAGGCAACAACAAGACAGAGTTGACTGCTCGACAAGAAAATCGTTTACAGTCAGGACGACCAACAATTCATAAAACATGAGAAAGATGTTAGGATGGCTTGTAACGAACCAGAATCAACTGGAATGTCCGACCCTGATCTAATCAGCTGTCGAGCTTTCTTTTGAATCTCCTGTTTGTTGGACTAGTACACCCAGTCTTCATAGAAACTGTCACGTTGCCTTGATTACTGGTTCTTTTTCGAAACAGTTTATAAATTGAACACTTTAAGATCCTTAAACATCAGGGCCCAGTTGTTCGAAGGCCGATTAGCGCTAACCCAGGGTTATATTTTAACCTGGGTCTCTTTTTCTTTCAGTTCAAAAGCATTTTCCCGGATAATTTTCTCTATTCTTTTTAGAGCATCCAATCATCAAATTGTAGGCAAAAAGAATAAAACTGAATTTGCTTTTTAAGCTTTCATATCTGAATTCAAATTTCGCACTAACCCTGGGTTTGAACAACCCGGCTCAGAGTGCCTATTCCCTACACTGAGAGAAGTTGTTTAAATATCGCTACGTTTTAAACTTGGTGATTTCCGTAAAATCATCTATTAAGCTCCCTCCCTCTAACAAGCAACCCCCCCCCCCACCTTTTCAGGGGAAGAGAATTAATAAGCCACCCCTGTCTATTAGCCCCCCCTCCCCTATCTTGATTATTTTTCACTGATAGGTGATCGACTATAAAACTTCGTGTGGACTGATCCGGGATGGTTTATTTACCTCCCGGAAGTTCGGATTTGATTCTAATCCTCGGCTGCGTGACCTCCAACTTCTTATACTTGAGCTTTTCCACTTTGTATTCTAGTTCTTTATGGGGAACTGATATCATCGTCTGTTCTAAATTAAATAAGCCTCCCGTCTCTGTTAAAGCCCCCCCCCCTCAAATGGGGTTGAAACTAATAAGCCCCGGGGGGGGGGGTTAATAGAGGATTTACGGTATTCGCTTAAAATTCTTATGATCTTTGTATTTGGTTTAGCGGTTGCATTATACACACCCTCTCCCCTGGCTTTTCATCACTGATTGGGGTCACCTTTATACTTCAAAGGATTAGATTTGAAGTGTGGATACTATCTTCCTTCCGGATTTACGCTTAAGTTAAGTTTATTGTCTTTCTAATGGTGTTTAATTTCAGTTCGATACCCATAAATTTTCTATTTCGTTTTCCACAGTTCCCGTCTTGCCAGTGGCGCTAACAGTAGGTCTTGGTTTACTATCAGTTATTTTGCTCGTCACTCTATTCCTAATCAGAAAACGACGCAAGGCTGATAAATACAAACAGTATTCCCAAATAGCCAAAACCGCTGTCCAACCGCCACAATTCGCCGTCCGATCAATCCAGCAACGTTTAGGGACGACTAAAAAGTCAGGTTTCAACAGTCATACAGCATCAAGTAAAGTAACTTCTTCAGAGGAATCGCTATCACCCATGTCAAGCGCCGAGGACATGTTCTTTGATGCTCAAGAAGGGCTGGAAACTCGAACATCACGTTCGGTTTCCAGTCGTGAGCCGAGCCCAGCACCCGAAGAAAAGGACAGCGAAGAAAATGAAATTTACCCCTTGGAGAATATTGGGCGAATTTGGTTCAATCTCGAATATGACGCGTCAGCTGAGAGTTTAGCGGTAACTCTGGTTAAGGCAAGAAATCTTTCGTGCCGCGATAAAGCCCTGAAAACGTGCGACCCATTTGTTAAACTGCATATTTTGTGCCCCGAAGAGAAGAACGTGGCACAGAGTAAATGCAAAAGAAAAACTCGTCGACCAAACTTTGATGAAATGTTCTATTTTAATCTTCCTCTTTCGGAGCTTCAGAGGTGTACACTTCGTTTGTCAATATATGACGGGTTTAGAGCAAGCCAACAATATATTGTTGGGGAAGTGTTGTTTCCGTTGATTGACTTGGATAGAAACAAAAAAATGCAGCTGTGGAGAGATCTACAAGCCACAGAGGAGGTAAGGCATTTCGCGGCAAAACATTTTAATCTCTTAAACACCAGAAGTGAGTTACGACCTTATCACTCATATAAATTTTAATCTCCGAATAACATAGAGAAGACCAATGCGTTGACAATGGGGAAGCTCTTATGCCAAAACAAAAAGGTCATTTCTCAAGAATTTAATACATAATTTTACACTATTTTGTACCCACATCAAATTACATTTCGTCAATCCTATAATGTAACAGTGGTATTTTCTGGACCCTGTAATAATATCTAGTCTTTACTAAACATGCAATGGTTGTTTGACTATAAACCAAGGGAAGTCCATTGAACACTATCACTTTCTGACATCTGTTTGAAATGTTCTTGACCTCAAAAATTCTGCACATATCCAGTATGCTTGAAATTGTTGTGTAGATTACGAAATATCTGTTATTCACCACTACTCAAATTCATGCTTCATTTGCCTACAATTAACTAGCCGGGCTATCTTAATCAACGAATTTATTTAGACTCTCAACCAATCCATTCGGACAAAATAAACCAGAAGTGTTTATACGATATCGTTCAAACAGAGACGATTGTTTGAAACTGATAAGGTATAATGACATAAGCTATAATCATATTAGCGTGTTGAAAAGGGCAAGGCGTTCCCTGTCAGTATAATAAGCTAAAAACACTTCCAGAAAACACAGGACGAGACGACAGTACACGTAGTGTTTCCTTTTCTAACCTTTTCTCACAGGTTTGCTTTGGCATGAAACTCTTCGAAACCAATACTAAGGGAAGGAAAACATGCCCTGATTGGTCAATTTAAAGGCGGGAACATAAATAGATGGAGTGGGAAGCAGTCTTGCGCGTGAAGGCGGATCTTCCGTAAAAGATCCCTGATTATTTTGGGCGATCATCTAGAAAGAACGGGAATTTCTGCACCTCTTTTTAGTTCTACATTTATCTATGTTCACTTTTTTGTTTTCCCCATCTTGTTTTTCATCTTGTTATTTTCATTTCATTTAGTTTGATTATTTTTGTGTTTGCTTTCTGTGATTGAAATAGAATCAGTCTGAACTTGGGGAGATCCACCTCTCAATGTCATACTACCCCACCCTGGACAGACTCACAATTATTGTTCTCAGAGCAGCAAACCTTAAGAAAATGGAGCCTCATGGTACAGGTGACGACACAAGCTTCATTTGTGGCTAGGGAAGGCCGTTTATGAGAATACCATAGTATACTATGTGCCCTTTAGGGTAGCAATCTATGTAAACCTCACTTTTGTTCTTGCACGTGCTTTGCTACGGTACTTTGTATACCCTGCTTCCACCTCGTTTTTCTTGTCTTCCTCCTTTTAACGCTTTTTCGATTGCGAAATATTAAGCATTTTTGTGTATTTTCCCCATTTTTCCCCTTTCTCACCCCATCCTCCTAGAACTCACATCTCCCACCCGGCTTCTCCCTTTCTCCAGCTGCCCCTCTCGCGCCTTATTAGGGAGCGAAAACATCACTTAAAAAGTGTATTCGCGATGCTTCAAACTTCGTTGCGCTCATTCCATCTCGTTCATTTCGTCAAATGTTGGCGAATTTTTCGTGAGTTGAATTCTAAAGGACTGCTGTATCAAAGTTAAGGAAAAGAAAAAGAGGGTCGTTGTCTTGTGTTCTCGTCCTCCGCAAAACGTGAAATTTAGGAAGTTTCACGTTGTAGTCTTACAGTGACGACAAAGAAGTGTACAAAAAAGCGTGATGCCTGTACAAAGTTGTTGTTTTGCTTAATAAACCTATTGCTTTTTTGCCGTTCTCGTTGCCGCCGCTGTGGACGCTGTGTTAACTCCCTAGGTAATCTCCCGGGCTCCCACCCCCGGGTCCTCCCTCCCACACATCCATGAGCTTCTCAAAAGTCTACATACCCAGTTACGCAGTTACATACATTGCACTTTCGCTTCTGTTTTTTTCGGTTCAAAGGCTGCCCCCAATTTACTTGAAATTCTTTAATCAGATCACAGGAAAAGCTACGTTCTAATGCAAGTAACCTACTTTAAGTCATAATACAACTGTGCTATTCTAACAAAGAAAACCGGAATTATTACAAAGCTGAGCTTGCGCAAGGAAGAGTATTATGGCATTTTTCTAAATGGGTTAAGAGATTGACGCGCGCCATAGTTAAGATCAACACGGCTGAAACCAAGAAAGGGATGGCCCATTACCCTCTTTCGCTGGAACGGATGCCTTTGCACTGAAAACCTCTAAAATCATCTGGGAAGGAATTCGAATAGTCTTGTTTAGCTGCGTAGCCGAGAGTTTTAAGGGAGCGCTACGAAGGAAAATTATTGTCGAAACTTTGTCGAAACTTCGCCCTTCCGCTGCTGGCGACTCTTCCCGTTCATGTGCTTTGTTTTAAAAAGCAATAAGCCACATTTTGCTTACCCCTAACCCCTACGCTTAAGAGATGTGCCTCCGCCCGAACCCCAGGATCGGCGATCAAGCAGTTTGCCCTTAAGGTGATGTTACATGGGACGATTCGCAACGACGATTTTTAGCGCAACACCGCTTGCAATATTGGAACAATGTTGTAACCATTCGAAACAATGTCGCAACAATGTTGCGACGCTGTGTTGAGCTAAAAATCGTCGTTGCGAATCGTCTCGTGTAACATCACCTTTAAGGCCTCCTAAGAGGAAGGACATTAATCCTGTTTTCAGCCTCTGATTATGTGTTTTCTCCTGGTTTTGTTTCAGACTCATACGCTACAGTGACGTTTTCAGTTGGAAACAAGATAATTAAGACAAAGAAGGGCTCAGTACACCACACAACGAGAGATCCTCTCTACAATGAATCTTTCAACTTCACGGCGTCGGGAGATGATCTGGGAACTGGTACCTTATTAGTGTCAATCATGCACTCTAGGGGAGGGGGGAAGGAAGACAAATTGATCGGCAGGGTGCTACTAGGGGGGATGATGTACGCGAGGGGGACGGAATGCGAACATTGGACCGAGATGATGACGAATCCACGAAGTATGATAAAATATTGGCACACCTTAACAAGGTAACTGGTGACGGAATTTAACAATAGTCAAATGCAAATGTAAGACTGGTCAGGCACAGAGGCAAATATGCCGGGTAGCGTGATTTCCTGTAAACATTACGATATCTCGATTTGATGACCATAAAGCAGGAAGGGAAACAGATATATATTTAAATGTGCTAACCATGTAATCATCTTATTTTTCTTATTTAGATACGTTTTCGCCTAGGAAGTTTCTTTTGAGGTTCTTAATAGTCACACCTAATGATTCTCTAAGTGCCGAAAGAGGCTAGGCCCTACCTAGTCGTGCATTATTTCAGAAAGAGAGAGATTTGCCGTGTCTAGTCTAAAAATTGTATAAGAATCAGCTCTTTGAGATTAACTATGCAGGTGAACACGAATCAGCGAGTTAATCGGGCTGAGGTTTGTTTCCTAACTGATGTCATTAGCTAGAAACACAGTACATGTCTCTGCAACCGGAAAGTTTTTAAGGAATTTCCCAGCGAAACCTCATCCAAATAGGAGAAAAGGTTTAACGGCCTGTTTACATGGAGGTGGGTTTTTGTGGCGGGTCACCCCACCTATCATGTAAACGTGATCAAATTAAGATGAGAGATTATATGGACAAGCGGGTTACCCCACCTAAGCGGGTTACCTCACCTACCTGGGGTCCCCGACCTCCATGTAAGCAGGCCCTGAGTCAGGTATCTGTTTAGCTTCGATCAAGCGCAGGCTTCCTACGAGCACTGTGAGTTCCACTGTGTTCTTAGCTTTTCAAAGAAGACCGTGATGATTATAGGTTTAGCCTGCGCATTTTCAAAGTAACTTGTAGACGCTTTTAACATTGGTACCTGCAGTAACATGCAGAGAGTACCCCCTCCCCTACTGGGCCCCCTTTTGAGGACATTAACCTTCACCCCGCCTCGAAGATATTCCCCCACTCCCCTCTTAGAATATGAACAAGTTCTGCAAATATTTGCATGTATATTTTTGTGTTCATTGTATTTGTATTTTTATTGTGGAGCTTAAGTTAAAATGTAAAATTTATTTACACTGAAGGTTTATGCTGGAGTTCTAAGTGAATATACAAGAAGAGAAATAAAAAAAACATATTTTCAACTGATATCTGATATTACTAAAAGACAGGACATCAATTTATTCCTTAAGGTAAGCTGAGCAAACCCCTTGAACATTGGATTTTCAGCAAATACGTTCCTAAAAACGTGAAAATATCGACTGACCCACTTCAAACCCAAACTTGATGAACAAATAAATTGGTGAGAATGGAATACGCTAGACCCTACCCTGCGAGTAGAGCCTCCTTCTTGATAGTCGAGGACGGAAAAAGAAGACTCTGCGTAAATCGCGTCAAGACTTTGAAGTCACCGAAGCCCGAATTTCTTGACGAGTCAATCTTGTTTCCTCTCGGCAGATTGGTTTACCAAAAGTGAGCATCCGTTTATCATGTTCATTGATAAACCGATGCTCATAACTGAGCCTGCTGTGCCAAACGCACTGCTCTTAGGCCTTGGCTCGAAACTGTATCCTAGCAACATGTAGCGCATGTTCAACAAAGACCTTACTCGATTCGTGCCGAATCTTTCTCGAGCACGCCGAAATCGAGGGGGAGCAAAACAGAGGCTCTGCTAGGGAGGACAGGGTGGCTAAACCCATAAGAAGGTTGAAAATGGGCATTTGCACTAAGAGGTCATGTGACATTGTTTTTATGAAAATGAAAGTTATATGATTTTGCCTTCGGAAAACGATATAGTGGGTAATATCTTAAACAAAATAATAGTGATTTGGTTTTTCAAACCAGCACCATTTTCTTAAAATGAGTTAGTTCGTAGCTGGTCACGCGACCAAAATGTGATTTTTAAAATTGTGAATTACCTCTTTCTGAACACAAATTTTGCACTGAAACTTCAAGTAAAATGTTGAAAAGATGATGTGGTAACGTTTACAATACACCTGAGCGTAACTATCAAACGTTTAACAAGTTATAAGCGAAAAGTATGTTTTGGCCGCCATGTTGGAGGGCAAGAGTATGCCCTCTAACCTGGCGGCCAATACAAATCATACTACTTTGTTGAAAAATCAAAGTGCCATAAAATATCTCCCTTAAATGCGTTTCCTCTCAAATTTCTGTCAATTTTTGGCATCAGCAAGATTCCATTTGTCACCTGGGGCCCGTTTCTCGAAAGTCTCGATAATTAACGGAACCGGTAAGCTGTCTCTGTTTACATTAAAGATTGAGGTTTCAATAGTTTTGCATCTAAAATGATAAAACTAACCGTTAATGAAACAAAATAGAGTAGTTTGCTAGCCAGGACCCGCGCTCTTATTCTTTATATTTCGATTTGAATATTTCGCTTTAAATAGATTTAATTGTTGGCTTTTATTATAGGTTTTTTTTTTAATTTAATTTTTTATAGTTTTGAATACTTTTTGTTGTAGTTTTTAATAGTTTCTCATGCTTTAGTCACCTTTAACATAAACTTAATATAACAATATTGTAAAGCGCAACCGAATATATTCATATAGCGGTTTGCGCTACATAAATGTAAATTATTATTATTATTATTTGATTTCGGGCCCGAAAAGTTACCGGGACTTTCGAGAAACGGGCCCCTGACCTCTTGGTGTAAGTGGCCTATTGCCGCTTCTAAATGATAAGAATGTTTTCACGATCATTGGTTCTAAGCAGACTAACTCTGGCGCAAAAAGATTTATAATCTCAATTGATAAGACCAAATTTTTGTTTTCCACTGCCCTATTGACGCAGCACCTGAGATTCTTTAGAAAATAACAGCTTTATTACCTCTGACATGGCCCGAGGGCAATCAAGCTGATGTCTGGAATAAAGCAACTAAATCCCAATCAAATCTTGAGGAACAATAAAAAGAAGGTATCTAAGCCGAAGTTTCAATATCTCTTACAATTAAGTGATTTGGGGAGGCCATAAAAGCGTCATATGTTCGGCTCCTTTGTTCAATTAAATTCATTTATAATAAATTCACACCCTATTGTAAGTCTACGAAAACCTACTCAGGTCCAAGCACAGATCGTTAAAAATAATTCGGTCTAAGACAGAAATAACGGACAAAAAGTGGAAGAATGATACAACGGTCATAAACAATTGATCCTGCAACTGTTCCGTATTAGTGTGAAAGTCAATATATTAAACGTAACCATCAGTTTACAATCAGTGTTAACGAATGTTTCTGTTAAATGATTTAGATGAAGGCAAAACCGCTCTTCTATGTTTGACACTCTCCCTAAATTCTGGCGGTGGTCATTACAGTCTATGAAACAACAAAAATCATTTGTACAGCATATAAAGTGTAAAGCTCATATTTTCGGATTAACAGGTTGTTAATAAATTAACTTTAGCTTCAAGGCATGGAGTGCTATTTAAATGAAGAAGGAAGAACAACTGAACACTTTAAATTGCTAACATTTTCTCAGAAACAGGTCAATTAAACTGGCGCTAGAATTTAATGGTTTGTAGTAAATTGAACAATTAAATAACTAATCCATGCGTACACTCACAAAAAGGTGACGGAAGGAATTGATTGTAAAACATTTTTAATTGTCGCTCAAAGCATAAACACAAGTAAATGATTTACAATTCGAAAGAAAACTTGGCATAAAGTATTTAAAAGTTCAGCTCGATTAACGCGAAAGAGACCTGACGATACTGAACGCAAAAATGATTTTTAAGAACAATTCTGGTTTTGAAAAAGGCACAGAAGTTATCGTTCGTAGAGCTTATTAAAAATCAGTCAACTATCGTGTCGCTAATTACTTTGGTAAACTTTGCGGAAAGCTTTTGTCCCAAGGGGACCTAACTATGGTGGCAAACCGTATTAACATACGTTCATTGCTGTATTATTGTTCTTAGAGTAGCCCTGTAAAGACGAGTTTGTGTAAACTCACAAAACATAAACGGTGTTATACTACAAACTTCATGAAAAACAACGGAGTGCTTTAAAATTAAAATGAACAACGGCCAAAAGGGAAAATCGTTCGAGAGATGGGATCGAGACGGAGTGGCCCAACACAGAAATCTCATGCACGAGATCGCCATGAAAAAACAAATAACAATGTACCAAAGGGAAGAAAAACTTCTAGCGAAAGAACTGCGAGAAATTTCTAAAGTAAAGGAAACGCTATTGCAGATTCGAGCACCGCTTAGACGTAGGGTGCAAGCTGCAGAGTTAGAAGAAAATCTCGAGAGCTTAGGAAATGAAGGCCGGAATTCACGAAAGTCCTCGGTTACTACGAGAAAGATCAGCGTCGCTGCAAACACAAGCGCTCAGCAAAAATGTACAAAGGACTTTGGATCGGCCCACGGGGAAGGAACAAGTGGTATCAATCACAGAACATTGACAACATCAGTGCCAGATGGATATGTTCCCTTATCTTCCGTGCAAAATACTCGCCAACGAAAAATCAGTGTTTTAGAAAGAGGACAGCGTGGACTGGTAACAGGCAACAAGTTGGCCACGCAACGGAAAATTTCGGCCCCTGCGTTTATAGCCGGCAAAACACCGATCTCAGAAAAAAGTGACAAAAGCGGATTTTTGCCAGCGATAAAAACGCCAAAACCTCCGAGGGAAGGAAGCCCTTCATTGCAAAGAATATCGCCTATACTTGACAGACCACTTAGTGCGCCTAAAACTGAAGAAGTAGTGGAATGTCGCAATCGATCGCCGACCACATTGACTCCGATAGCACCAAGCAGGGTAGATATGGCTGTGCTACGAGCTAAGTCAGTACCATGTGATCTCCCCTCGCATTATGCCAAGACATCAAAAAGTCGGCAGCGAGTCATATCAGATACTGATGAAGTTACAACGCTAACGATGGAGGAAACTTTGCGTATAAAAGGCAAATTTCGACAAATTGGGCATTCTGTTATTGCAGCAGCTCTTCTGAAGGGTTTAAAACAGAGTGGACAGCTTTCTTCGGAAGCGATTCACAACATGCACAAACCCATATCATTTACGGGGGAGGAAAACGGGACAAAAACTGATGAAAATAAAGATGTTGAAGCCGAGGCTAAAGAAGATGGACAAGAGGAAGAGGAAGTAAAGCAAGGATACAATAAAAAGTCGTTCAGATCTCTTGCTCGCAAAACAATCAATATAAACAGGTTGATAAACGCGAAGAGTAGCTCAAGAATTAGAGGGCGTTCTCAGTCAGACCCGCCAAACACTTCAAACCCGAAATCGTCTTTAAATAATCCAGCAGGAATAACTTTAAACCAGGCTGCTGAAGCAGAAACAGCCATTAACAATTCTGCTCATCCGAAAGATTCAAGACCTAGTCAGGTTGGTGCTAGAATTCGGCGAATGGATAGCGCCGGAGAGTTTCAACTTGACACAAACAGCTCGCGAGAAGACAAGGAAAGTGACAACAATTTCCAAACTCAACAAATGTACAGAAGGCAAAGCGCAGTGGCCGATCCATTCAGGCCTTTGATGAATCCACGAACTGCGCATGCTCGTAGGAGAAAGAACACATTTAGTGGGGAGCCAATAGAGGTCTTTGAAAAAACCCAGAATAACTCCTTGGATACAGCGCCACAGGCCAACCAAGCCGATACTCAAACTACGGGGAATAAAACTGTTCGCTTTGCTGCGGAAGCATGGAGTTAGATGTCCTCTTTCCAAAAACAAAATGTAAAAAACGTAAAAACAATAAATTTTGCCTATTATCGACCTGATGTGCGGCTGCGCGCCGCGCGCTTCCCTTCGCTCGCCTAAAAAGCGCGAAAAAATAACGCCTGTTATGCAGGCTAGGCAAGGACAATAACGGAGACTGAGGCCGCCTAACGCTTCGCTCAAACGTTGTGGCACTGAATGGCAAGGCACGGAATGGTCCTGTCAGCTACATTTTATATTTTGCTACAAAAAATGTCCCGTTAACTTATGCGTCGCTGGTTCGTAATAGGCACCTGTACACCTGTTGCGCTTCGAAAATTCCTTCCCAATCTTGCCTCTTCCGCAAGACGCCTGGGTACAAGCAGTACATTGGTGTAAGTCCAAAGCCGGAAGTACAATTACGGTCAGCCCAGGATTATTATTATCTAAAGGGATCTGGACACTAATACAGGGGTCAACTTAATAAAACTTTTACAAGTGTTATTTACAGGTGTATCTATTGCTCTCAAACTCTAAAACAGTAGCCACATTTGTAAATTACACTTGTTAAATTTTTATGAAATTGTCCCCAGAACCGCCAGAACAACGCGTTAAATAACCGGAATAATCTGCGAGACAAAAAAGCGTTTTACGGCAGGTTAATACTGGTTAGGGATAAAGGTAACTTCTTACCAGGGTGTGTGCAGAAAGGAGGAGTCAGAAACATGCAGGCAACAAAGCCTTATCTGAACTGCAGATTTATTACAGAAATAGAATTCAAACTTTTGTTCTTGAAAAAAGAAAAGAAAAGAAAAGAAAACAAAGCAGCTCATTTGCAAAAATTATTAGTTTAGCATGCTTAAATTTCCAAAAGCCTGCAATCACTACCATGAACGTCGACTACCAAAGAAAAAACATTTGTTACCAGATACATAGACTCAGTCTTACTTAAAAGGAAATAGCAAGGCCGTATTTCCGAAAATGAATAAGAGGATAGTTTAAAACTTGTTTTGGTCTACACCAGTATTTTTGAGTTTGTAAATGCATACAAACCTATGCACCGCTGTCCACAAGTGATCTTTTGTTAACGAACATTTTTGTACAGTTTCAGGAGTGGATGCGACACTAAAATGATGAGCTAAAACTGGTCACGTGGTAAAACCATGCTCAACGCTGAATTGACTACTTTGAGGAATAAAGACCATTAACCACCTATGAATGTTGTTCTCGCATGGATAGCCATAGAGTATAAGTTTGTATGCATCGACAAATTTAAACCGAGTTACACCTAAGAGTTCAAATGGTGCTTAAATAGCAAACGAATTGGCGTACCAAAGGCACGATGCTAAATAATAAATTGATTTTAAAACTTGAAAGAGCTCTGAAACTTTACACAACCAAGCCTCGTTTTGGAATTATAAGTTAAAGAGCATACCCACGCACAAAGTGTCAAGGGCTAGAAGAATTTGTTCACAAACGAGGCTTGGTGCTTAAATAAGAGAAAGTCTGTACTTTCCTACGTATAGTGGGAACCCCTCACCTCCGTGGGGAAAGGGGGGTGGGTGGGTACAGCTAGACGTAGGCTAGTTTTTCATAAACGTGCAAAAGGGCCAATCGCATAACACGATTAGAAAATATGGCGCAAAAAGGCCAATGAAGAAAAATTCGCTCCACTCGTCATGAAGCCTTACAATGCCTCTGAAGTCACAACGGAAGGTGAAGACAACCAAACAAACGCCCCGTCAGATAAGCGCAACAAAAAAAGTTACTTTACCTAGTTTAATAAATGCTAAAACCTAGCTACTTATTGCTCCAGTACCTAAAATTATAATTATTATATATATATATTATAAGTGGCAGTAGTAGTATCAATATCATTTTTTTATAATTAAAAATAGTTTTATCAAGTCAGTCGGTTTGCCGACAAATGGTTTATAGACAATTACTTCGGAGGCCTTATTTAGCATCAAAGAATCGTGCTTCACAGAATCACGCTTTGATTCCTCATTTCTGTGCCCTGATTAGCGTAGTCGCCATTTAAATCAAAGCTACCCAATAGTACTTTTAACTCTACCATCTAATGTGCAAAAGTTTCCCGCAAAAATTCTCCAACTTTCTAGCTTTCTGAGATTTTGGCTGCAGTGATGCCCAATCGCAGCTTTTGTAATGATCCCTTAAGTCACTGATTCTTGCAACATCGCCTTCCAAATTAGGCATAAGTAAACAGATCTTTCATTGAGCCAACAGGAAAATTTATAAGAGCAAACGTAAGGTGCGTTGGCGAGCAAATGGGAGGGAAAAGAATAACCACCAAAATTTCACAGCTTTCCTTGACGTAACTCTTGTAGGCTAAGCAAGAATGTTTGAAACCATTATTAAAATTTTCCGTGAGTACAAAAAGCCTTCCTCTCTTGAAAAATCAAAGTCTTCATTTAATTTCACAGCACAAAATGGCGACTTCACTGCTCTCACTGTAGTCAAGTTATGCACCAGAGGAGACTACAGTAAAATCCCGCGACTAAGAACCTGGTTTTTAAGATTGAGCAAATAAGATAAGTCAACATTCAGGATCCTCTTTGGAGACATGGTGCCTTATCACTCCAACTGCAATTGCAATGGTAAACAGATTTTACCTAAGGAATGAGCTGAATACCACTAAATAATCTTAGCTACAATGTATAAGAACCTATTTAAGACCCTAAACAGCCTAAATTTGTGCTAATTACCATTTAAGTAAGAACCTGTATAGGCTAGCAGGTTCTTAGTCGTGGGTTGTTACTGTATGTCTGTCAGCAATACTGTTTGCCTGTACGTTACTTTGGACCCTTTTGTAATGGCATTACTTCCAGAAACTAGACATTTTTCTTTTACGCGGACAACGATAACGAGACTCTACTAAACAGAATTAAAGTCGAAGACCTCTCAAGGGGCACTCGTAAGAGGCAAGACCGTTCTACTTACGGCCCCGTGGTTACAACCCCGATCACCACTTCAGAAACGAGAAAGGGAACTGGAACCGAAATGCGTCTCGCAGTTGTTTCTGGGATCGCTACTGGGAACGCGCCTGTCAGCTATTGGCCAGTTGTATTTTCCTGTTCCTAGTAACAGTCCCAGAAGTCTCAGCGAAAGTTAATTCGGCCCAGTTTCCTTCTCGGCCACTTGAAAGATGGCGTCATTTCACTACTACGACTAGAATTCGTTTCGTTTTTCCTTTCATATTTAAATTTGGTAATCCCAGCGAGGTTTAAAAAACAAAAGCTCTAATTTGCAGAAGCACAAGAAAGCAAAAACCCGAAGCATTCTGGTCATTGTAGTAAAATGACGCTATTATGACATTGGCCTATTGGACTCCCCCGTTACAATAACAATTCCTGTAAGCGGCCGGTTGTCGACACTTTTCCACTATATAAGGGTGTCCTCTTCAAGAAGCTTCCACTGTACTCAGTGAAGATAAAAAACTATTACTTTCCGAAAGTGATCAATAAAGAGAAATAGAACTTTTTGAGTTTTTTCATTCAAGCCCGACTTTCTTTTTGAAAAAAGATAATTTCAATGCCGTTGTTCCACAACATTTCTGAGTCACTTCAAATTCAAGGGCTTGGAATCCAACAAACCCAAAAAGATACTGATACAGTTATACCCTAACGCATTCTATTAAAATTCTCATGAATTAAGGTATGTCAATCAATTTATAATCAATAATTTTTCAACGACGGTAGAGTCGGGATTTAAGGAGCTCCATGTAAAACACAGTACGGTTTGCCGCCATATTGATAAAATTGCTTTCCTTCTAGGTGCGTAGTGCAGCCTGGGTGCTGTGAAGAAAAACAATACATGTGTATCAATATATATGTTTCATTTATTTAATTATTTGTCGAACGCTCACTCTTATCTGTGGCTAGATTTCAAGAACGCTGGAACACTAGCCAAACTGCGAAAAACGTGACCAACATCGTTCGCGAGCGCTCTCAAAAACGCCACAAGCTTTATCTCCGTGGAAAACTTTCTGGCGCGTCACTTGTCACTTGAACAAGGTCATTTCATAAACATTGCACTATAACAACCCGGAATGACAAAACGACCGTACACTGAGATCATCCACTGATGAGGACTAAGGACCAAGTCAAATGTCGAACTTCACATGCCACCGAATGCTAATAAGCAAAATCTATAATTCTTATTCTCGCAAATTAAAATTAGATTCAGCACATGTGAGATACGATGTTTGCTAAGTACTTAGTAGTCAACAGTTTGTCTCTTGTGAAATCTTCCTTTGGTTCGTCACGCAATCTTCTCTTACGATGGAGGATTGCATGACGCGCAGGATGATTATGGACCTTCACGCTTCCTTTGTACATTTCTTTGCCGTCACTGCACGACTAGGTGACTTAGGAATGCCTAATTTCACATTTTATGGAGGACGTAAACAAGCCACAGTGAAACTTCCTTTTTTCTTTCTGAACTTGGATATCAATCTTGAGAATTGAACTCCAAGAGAACACAGTAAATGAGTGGGAATAATCGCGATGAAGATTGAAAGAACGCGAATTCACTTAAATTGAAGTAACGTTTTCGCTGCCGTCGCCATCCTCGGATCTTAAGATCCGTGAAGTCTGCGTAGCAGGAGGCTAGTCGACAGTGAAATGCAAGCAAACACACAATTATTACGGAGAAAATTTGTGTATAAATGACGTCTCACCTGACATTTAAAGCAGGAGGCATGCCAAGGTTCACCCATAGCCTCCACCCACCTGTCTCCACCGCCGATAGCACGCTTACACAAACTACATTTCACGCAAAACAATTTGTTGTAATCTTCTTGGCAGTAAGGTTTTCCTCGATCGACATTGAAGCCCTCGGAACCGATCGGTCGGCCACAGTGACTGCACACAAAATGTTCAGGATGAAAAGTTTTACCAACGGCTTGTACACAAGGCTGTGAGTTATAATTGATAACAATTGACAAGTTAAAAGCGATACCAACGAATACGCCACTCCCCTACCCCTACCACTCGGCCTCTCCAAACCTCTCAACTTCTTGCTCCTATTATCAACGTTGAAAAGGCAAATATGGACTATCAGTATAATTTGTGCGCAAGTTCTTCATCGACTGACGGTTGGTTAGAATTAGGAGCAGTAGCCCTGGGTTCGATTCCAGGCCGGACCAAACTCAGCGTCTTTAACTAACTGAGAAGGAAATGCCGCCTTCCCTCTGACATCTGCGAGAGATTAAACTTTCTAGTCTTCTCGGGTGAGAACGTAAAACCCCAGGCCCCCGCCCCACAGTGCTTTAACTTCTACCTAATCTGACTTTCTCGGAACGTTCAAGAACCACTATGGAACACAAGCGCTGATAGTGACCACCCCTAGTGTCTGTCTTTTATGGATTGTAGGAATGGGTGGGGAGGGCGCCTAGAATGGGAGCTATGATGAATCCCACTCGTTCCCATCCCCACTGGGCAGGTACCCACTGATTTGATTAGAGCGTAAAAGAACCACCATGGAAGTACAAGCTCTGCCCACCCCTAGTGTCTATCTTTTATGGATTGTAGCAATGGGCGGGGAGGGCACCTAGAATCGGAGCTATGAATCCCGCTTACATCACCGTATTATCATTAAAAAATCAGAGCAGGATTGTCTTAACTGCTTCAAGTTCTTTTCAATGTGAGGAGGGTATTTATAAAGGAAGGGCCTTAACCCTTGACAGTCCAAATAGGGCACAGACCTTGACGGTCAAAAATACATCTTTCTGTCTAATCTTTGTGTTAAACTAATGCCCTCGAATGTCACTTGCTCGGTTCATTCCCATTGTCGACAACCAACAGTCCATCATGATTATAGCGCGAGGGTTGCATATACAGAGCTAAGAAAATAACAGACTGTCCGCCAACCATCCAAATCTCGTCGGAATTCTCCTGATTTTGCTTGAAAATCCCGAATCACCGCCAATAAGCGACTGGGATAGGAAAAATCCCAATCTTGAAATTTGTTCTGATATTTTCGAATAAATTTCTACGATATTTATGTTAGAACACCTAACGGAGTCTACTTGACTGAAACTGATATCCAAGAAACGTAAATAAATCGCACGAAAAATAATAAAAAATAAAATCGATTTCTTACAGTAATGTGTAAGTGAAACCACGCAAATGAAAGTAAGGATAAAAATGACAATCGATTTAGCAAACAATGAGACAGAAGTTGTCCTCTGAGAACACTAGAAAAAGCTGTTCATGTTGCCCTTCAACGACATGATTAAAAGTAAAAAAAAAATTAATAAAAAAAAATGTTGAAATGAGGCCTTAAACTGCTGTTCCAAAAATAAAATTGGAATCCAAACTTTCGCCGATCATCGGCATCACCAGGGATGAAAGTTTGGATTCCAATTTTACTTTTTAAACTGCAGTTTAAGGCCTCATTTGAACAATAGTATTTTTAGAAAAAAGCGTTTTAGAGCATCAAGATTTCAAACTTTTCTGGGGAGCATGTCCCCAGTCCCCCCTAGTGGCTCGCACTCTCAGCGCTCACGTGATTCGTCGGTGATAAAAAGAAATCCCGATTTTAAATACTTAAAAGATTGGACAGTCTGAAATAATTATTCACTCGCCGGCGACTTAACCTTTGAACAGCGAAGGGAAGAAAAATGAAAAAGGAAGAACTGCCTGCAAGGAGTGGTAAAAATGCAGCTGAATGTCCAACTTACCTGGATTCTGTACACTTAAATGCATTAACGGGAACTGGTCAAACCAAACTCAAATTACAAGCCGAGATTCCATTTTGTCGGCCTTTCAATCGTTTTCGACTACATGTATTACGACAAGTGGAAGATTTCTTATGCCAATGAACAAAGTTAACAATCTCTCTTCCCATGTTATTGAAAAGCGACCACCCAAAAGAACTACCCACGGCATGTTCCCAGCTAATTCAATGACTAACTAGGATGTTTTGAGGCCAATCTGAACACAATGGCTTTAATTTATATAGCTGAAATAATAAATATTTCTTAAGTAAATATCATTACTTTTACATCTCATATATTATTCCTTGCATGACAAAAATAAATCTTTTAAAGCAGGCTATGGAGATAGCAGACAAGAAAAATACATCTCTTTCAAAAAGTATTATAAAAATATTCCATCTTATCACCAGTGTTCCGAAAATAGATGAAGGTGTTTAAGGCCTCTTTTGAAGTCTGCATTTGTAAAGCCTACACTACGTTTCCTGTGGGTGGTTGTAACTTAAAATGTTGGATGCTGGTCTTTTCTAAAAGCGTTAACTGACAAAAGCTACTTTCTATGCGACTAAAAAATATGACGGTCGCTTCTTTACCGTGTCACTATAAAAAAGAATTACCGTCAGCTACTTAACACTCACTATATACAAAACTGCCTTATCAAACACAAAACTAAACCACATTTTGCAATTAAATCTTGGAAAATAAGATGTTCGTAATTTCAGCCCAATATTCTCCGAAATCTAATGCTATATATTGATGCTTAAAAAATCATGACCTACTTGGTGATGTGTGTCTCATCTGATATGACGACTACTCATGTCATATGGGTCTCCTGAAATAGAAACCTACAACCCAGGGTCTCTCTGTCAAGATCTGGTTTTGGAGTTCGGTTAAGTGGAGGGTGTAGAGAGCAGTGATTGTTGGTAAAGACTAGAGTGGCTCAAACTATTTGCGTTCCGAACTCAAACCCAAACTGACGCGACATTATCACTTCTTTCAGAAAGAAAAACACAACCCAAACCGGCTGCAGTTTCCTTCAAAAACTGTTACTACCTCTTGTTCCCTAGAATTTCATGACTTGTACTAGGTCAGAACGTTAGAAAATCTGGAAACTGCCAAACATCACAAGCGCTTTTACCGAGTAGACGTCGAGATATTGAGCGCGATCTCAACGACTTTTTGATACGATTACAAACCAAGTACAAAAGCAAAGGCAAAGCTAAGAAATATCGATTAAGTTGTTCCTTTTTAGTTAGTATAAGGATAATACTCATAGCTTCTCTTCCTTATCCTCTGTTTACAGTTGGCTAATAGCAACTGCGCATGCCTTAACTCCTTATGGCCATCTTCTATGGAATCGTGTAACTGGTTTATGTAAATCTTCAAAGGGAGCAACCTTCGCTCAGCTCTCTTGAAACGTTCTTTCCTCTCTGATATATAATCTTGTAGCATGTCCTTTCGAGTCGCTTTTTTCTTTGTAACCACACTCTTCTCAAGTGACTTGCTCCTTAGGTCCCTGATTCGCTTATTGTACATTTCTAGCATGTCTTGTAGAGTGCGCCTGCGGGCATTCAACTCTCTGCAGCGGTCGTCAGCATTCTGAATTGCCGACTGAACGATAACCAATCTTCGTGAAGCTTCTCGCACGCGCTCCATGGACGCCTCCCGTGCTGCTTTCAGTTCGGTTATTTCATACTCAATATTCTTCCAATTTCTCAATTCTTCCGATTTCTTTTGTTTAAATTGATGGTTTACATGCCAGTTCTCTGACATTATTCTATACTTGTTCTGTAGCCTTCCCTCTTGATGATGGATTTTTTCTTCAAGCTTTTCAACCTTGTCTTCAGCAATAAACCTCTTTCGCTCCATCTTCGATAGCAGAATCTTCGCTTCTTGAAAGCGCTTGCGAGCAGCTGGAATTCCTTCTTTGGCTTTGGCTTGACGTTCAGTCGCCACTCGTAAAGCTTCCTTCAAGGCGACAACTTTGTCCTTTAAAGAGCCCATACCGGGTTCCCCATGCTGTTCTAATGCTGCTCCAATGTTGGTGATATTACTAATACCACTCCCCTGAACCCAGTTACTGTTGATGTCATTCTCAACTGCTCTTTGAGGGTAATTGACCCCATACAAAGGAGTCATGTAACTAGAGTGCACGTTATTTGGCAAGTTTGGGTGGTTACCCTGTGCTTCTTTCGTCAAAGTCAGGGCATTATTCAGCCGACGAGTTTTGGTTTTCGCTGCAGCTTCTTCAGCGTTCTTTCCTTTCATCGACGACTCGCGTATGGCCTTCAGCATAGCACTTGAAGGCGGAGGCACCGCTGGCGGACATGCGTGCAGGCTCTTGGGCTGAAAATGTACAAAATACACACATGCCATCACCTCATTTAACGGTTACCAAGGTAACAGAGAGATTAACCAATCAAGTGTTCGCTCCAAAGTCTGGCCGAGCAATCCCTGAAAGAATTAGAACTGGAAATCAAGAAGGAGAGTTTTGTATACAGTGCAGTGATGTGCTGGTGTCAGGTGCTGTGCAGTGCAATGCAGTATTAAGTATTATCATTAAGTGCTCTTAGTAATTATTGATCTAATTAATAACCAGTTATACATTTATTTCCCACATTTTATATAAGACTTAGTGCATTTAAGAGCAAGGAATTGTTAGCAAGAAGCAAAACAACAAGAGTAGTTCATCACTACCCTTAGCCGCCACATGTTCCTCGGTTAATAGATACCATACTAAGTTGCCGCGATTTGAGAAGACACAGTCTTGGCAGCGACTTCATCTTATTCGTTAAGGACTTCCACGATTATATCCCACTTTCTGTGCAATTTCACAGTGAAAATCAGAGAACAAAAAAAAAACCAGAAGAAAGGTCAAGAATCGAATTAAACTATGTACTCAAGGCTTGGAGCCAAGAGAGAGACGAGGAAATCCAACAAGCGACTGTCCCCATTAACTTCATCTGTACTATAACAAGAGCAGAGTTTTCCAGTGCAGTGCTGGTGAGTGTATTTTGTTATTTGCTCATAAATACGGTGTTGGTGCTATGCTTGAATTTTGTGCTCTGACATGGCTCCGCTTTAAACCTTCATAGCAGTCCTTCTGTGGCTTCAAGGTCTTCAATTGCAGCCGTATTTTCCACTTGTCTTATTTCTAGTCACAAACTGCGCTTTTCCGGTTACGAATTATCCTTTGCTCTGGAAACAATTTCAGAAATTGCCATAAATTCCATGTTCAGGTACACAATTATAACCATGCCAATGAAAAGAAAGACAAAACAGAAACAGACCATCTGCGATCTCCACTGAACCGTCAAGATTTTTGTTTGCTGTTGTCAAAGAAAGTGTAGATTCCATTTCCAAGTTTTCCAAGTTCGAATGGCAACCTGTGCAGCCATCAATTCACAAACTCTACTACTAACAGACTTAGACGCAAATACATAATAGATGTCTTGTTCTTCCAAGAAAGAAACTGATTTTTTCCCTCGTTGTCACACCACTAGCGCGGCATTGAACAATATCCAGATGCCAGCACCAAGTTCATGGCCGTAAATCCAAAGGATACACAACAGAATTAATGCTAAATATCAGATGGACTACGATCATCAGCACTTTACAATACAGTACACGTTAAATTGCTTTCTTCACAATACTTATAATTATACTGCCACAATGTTCATTTACTTTAAAAAAAAAATACACAAAAGATTAGTAAGAACAACGTTGGTTTACCGCCAATGCTTAATCAACAAAGGCCGGAAGGCACCTAAACATAAGTATTACCTACTACTGAAAAAAGGTACAGTTCAGGGCAATTTCTCTTCACCTACCAGAAACTGCTAAGTACAGGTAATATATATATATACACACGATGAGGAGTGTTTCATCCAAACACCAAGACCTGGGTTGAAAAAAAAAAAGAGGCGCACCGAGGTTTTTTTTTTTAACAAATTTGAGTTGAGGTATCAGGACTTCGGATGAAACACTCTCACAATTCTTGATACGCTTTTTTATCAAATTCAAAGGTGACGTTTAGCAAATACTGTGCTACCAAGGATTCGATTTACAAACTTTCTTTGAAGACGTAATTTCCTTAGTTATCTCATTTTTAATTATTGAGTTAGAAAATAACACATCAAAAAGCGAAGTCAACGCAAACCATGCTAGAAACAGAAAAAACGAACTCTACTAGAAGAAAGGCTACAGTGGCTACAGTTGACTTCTGAAGACCATTGAGCAAGCTGCAAAATTTTTATTCAGAGTCAATAAAGCGGGTTGCTTACAACTCCGATATAAACACTTGCATTAATCGCAGGTTCTGAACAAAGTAATTAACCGACACCATATCAAAAATGCAGTGTGATGCTGTTACGCGAAAGCTTTAATCTTCCCCAAGTTCGTCCATTCTTACCACCTAATGGCTTTATTGTATTTAGCATATTCCTTGTGAATGGTTATTGTTCACATTCTGGGGAATTCTAGCTATGAAGAATTTGTTCAGTGTTGAAATGGTGTCAAAAACCTAACACAACTAAGACAGGAAAAGTCTCTACAACCGCAAGTGTGGTCATCTACAAATTATTTTTATTTACATTAAATAACGTGAATATATGTAAAACAATAAAAAGTGTGTGTGTGAGAGAGAGAAATACGTGTTAATGCAAGTGTACCAGTGACGTATACATGTGCAGTCATTAAGGCAACAAACAGAATGCATTTTAACAAGGCTAGAAAGCAAAATCTGAAATGGACATGTGCGTGAAATATTATCAAAATCTCAGACGATAATCTCAAAATCGATCACGCTTTATAATGGAAAGGTGTTGGTAGATGGCAGACTGACACAGATCAGAGCAGCCACGATTATCACATTGATGGAGGATAACTCAGATTGTTCTCGATCTAAACAACACAAACAGCTGGTTGCCCGTTACAAGGAAGATGGTGAGTGAAAAGTGAACTAACATAGGATTTATTTCACACTGTGTACAACGAACATCTAACAAAGATTTTTAGCCACTAAAATTCCTGCCTTCGTTTTAACGATAACGTGCTTGATAGCATACCGTTGTAAAATTCGTTCAGTAGTGTTCTTTCAAAGAGTGGTTCTCGGCCAAACTCAGGAGCTAGAAAGACGGCACTAGTAGTGGTATGCTGTGATTAACATGTCCTGTGTAAATGCTTTTTTGATGAACTGAATATCGCTAAGACCACAGTTAATTTAAAATGGTAGACAAAGACAAGTAAGGAAGGAAATAATCAACAGAATTTGGGACCAGAGGACTTAGATTTGTTTGCCCAGCAAACGTTGGTAGTAATTCTCGCAGCTGCTTATAAGTTTGTTGTGCACTAAACACCACCTCCAAAAGCTGACTTTTGACCAGTTTGCACAATAAACTAGTTCTATTTTACAACTGTAAGTTTAAAAACAACAAATTATCATTTCTGAGACCAAGTATAAAGCCATTATGGAGTTGCCCCAAGTCATTCAAACCGAGGATAAAGGAAAATATTTTCATACCCATGCACATTAAACTTAATTTCATACAGAAGCTTTTACATTAGCCCTCAATTTGTAAGTGAGGGCTTGTTGTAAATCAAAATGGTCTATTTTACTTTCACATAATCATTGACATAAATCAACTTTCGAACCACCCCTACCCCATAAGTGTAATCTCAAGGCCTCATAAAAGATGCACAAAACCATTGTACTCACCCCAGAGATGGGCTGCTTGCAAGTATCACAGTGAGGAGCAAAGTATTTGTTGTAGTCCTTTTCACAATACAATTTTCCACCCTCCTCTATGAAGCCCTGGTTCTGAAGAGACTCACCACATCCATCACACACAAAATGTTCTGGGTGCCACGCCTTTCCAATGGCACTTACAAAAGGACCACTGTTTCAAACATGAAGAGCAAAAACGTACATTACTAAAAAATTCATAAGACATAGCAATGACATTTACCTGACTGTAAGGAAATCTAAAAAAAACAATAAGAAAGTCTAAAAGCTCTTCATTTATTTACAACAAGAATTACCTTTTATCTCTGTAAATGCTTTATAAGCTTAATTCCTAAGAGCATTACAGTTATACTTGTGGCCCAATCTGCATTTTTGTCATTATCACGCAGTGCTTTTCAGTCATTTCTCAAGGGACACCTCAATAACACAGACATTTTTTAAGATGGACACTTAGAGGTGGTCTTACATATCCCCAGTGTACAAAGAAAGTAGTGTCTGATAGCCCGGGGCTAGTGGATTTTGCTATCGGGCTAGTGAATTCTGTTCCTAACTTGCCCGACAGGCAAGTGAAGTATTTTGAGGAATTCAAGTTGCATAAGAAGTGTGAAATCAATTCTGCTCATCAAAAACATTTGGGGGCTAGTTCAAATGACGTTTGGGCTCGTAAATGCTAGCGTCAGCTTGCCCAACTGGCAAGCTGTAAATTAATGATTTTCTTTGCACCATGATCCCTGTCTTTTTTTAGATTTTATACTGTAACTCAAGTCTCTGTAAGATGAACAAATCTACAAGGACAGTTGGGGATGGTCCTAACAGCCTGCAACAGAGAGGAAGTTGTCTGTTCCCAAAAACAAAGGATAAAAAATCTGAAGATAAAGTTGGACCATAATTGAAAGCTCTAGAGACAACTCTTACCGCCAAAATAACAAGCGAAAATAACTTAATACTGCCGTACTAAGTAGAACTTTTTACAGTTGTGTCATTCCATTGCAACATTATTATACCTAACTGTTGTGTGGTTAGAGTCACTTTCTGTATGATGCGCAACAATTACCATCTTCCATCATAACGTTATGCATGTAAAACTATACAGTGATGAACATGGGAGTTGTTGGATTCATGGTGCTTGTGGATAGTAAAAGATATCGAGAAATATATTTTAAAAAAAATAACAGCCTGCAAAAAAAAGGTCCACGCTATACTCAACTTACAAGACTTCCTCTCCACAGGCATCACAGAAAGGGGTTCTAGTCTCTTCGACTGGCTGTGTTGACGGAGGCTTAGTGGGTGACCTCTTCCACTCTGGTTGTTTAGGTGGGCTAGTAGAAGTGGGCGATACTGCCGCTGGAGATGCAGTCGACGGCAATTTCTGTGATGGGCTTCGCTGTGGTGGCCCAGAGGGTTGTTGAAATTGAACCATCCCAGGTAGAGCAACAGGCTGAGGTTGTCCTGGTCGGGCTACAACTGGTGCAGGGGGTGCCACTGGCATGCTCGCAGCAGGTTTAATTTGAGGTGGAGAAGGACGGTACATTTTAGGCATTGCCTGGGAGGAGGGCTTGCTCCGACCTGCCTTTTGCCTATCAAAAACACTGCCAGGAGCCTCTAATGGAGAAAAAAATACATGGTTATAAAATTTTAGTACAAGAACACTAACCATAATTGTTGACTTGTTGATTTCACATGTAATACATGACAACAACAGTATTAACAGTCTAAAGCCTCAATATTCAACTTCACTGTCTAAAGCCTCATTCACAATATCAGAATGTTGTTAACTAAACGAAGCTTCACAAATTAAAAATCTGCACAAAACACTGCAAAAACAGGCTCTAACACGGGATGCAAGTTAGTTTTATCTGGTGTTTTCATTTGTGCTGAACTAAAAGTTAAAAAAAATAAGGCAGCTTTTGTGAAATAAACAGCTCAGTTGCACCATAAAAAACTGCAAATGGAGCACTAGACAGTGGAGTGAGACAGTAACTGGAGTCAGTTGTGTCTCATTTCTGTGAATACTCTACATATTTACCTCCATGCTCCACAGCATCCTGCAGGACTTTAAAACTCCGTGACTGCATGTTGTGCTTCTCATTGCTGTCCTCCAGCTGATTAAATGCTTCAGGAGGTGGTGGAGGAAGATCTACAAAGACAGTAACAATAATAATACTATTCTGAATGTAAACAAGCAAGTTTTGAAATTGTTGCTTGTTCTTAAACCAGTTTCAATAACATTCACAGTAGAAAGCCGACTAATTTGTGATGTGGCTCACAAATACACACTGTAACAAAAAGCTATCACACTAGATGGTAGTGATGACGGTAGTGATGATGATAGTGACATACAATGTACATACCATCATCTTCATGTTCTTGAAGATGTCTCTGCAGTCTCTTGAAAGACTTGGACTGGACTTTAGGATCTGGTGGATGGCCCCATGTTGGCGGCTCATCAGCGAAATTCACTAATGAAAAAAAAATGTTCAGTGAGATTAAAATGATCCGTACATCCAATATTGGCAGTGTTGTCATCATTATGTACAGTCCACTCCTGATAACTCAAACCTTCAAGGGAAATCAAAAAAAGGTTCGAGTTATCAGGAGTTCAAGTACTGGGAGTTCGAAAAGAAAATAACCGAGAGTAAGGTAAAAAACTTTTTACTGCACAGTGAACATTATAATCACATTTAATTATAGAAATGTCAAGTGAAAATTAAAAGATACTTCTAGATTATAAATCAGACAGGGTTGTCATTAAGAGCCGGGGGCCGGGGATCTTCTCCGGCTACTAAGAGAGTGGCCCCCGGCTACTTTTATTGGAAAATAGAAGAAAAATAGAACCAAAAGAAATCCCTAGCCGTTTGATTCCCCACCTACTTGTTGTATTTACCCGGCAACTTGAAATCTTAGTGACAACCCTGATCAGAACATATCATAACAAAACATAGCTTAAATGGAGCATGCGTTTACTGTTTTGAGAAGAAAAGCTGCTTCACGTTAGCCTGTGACAATCAACATCAGCCTCCACTAGTAAACTATACTCCTACAACACGTCAATAGCAAATCCAAAATTCAATGTTTCGGACGCCAGTAGACAGTTTTTTCCCCAACTTTTTAAGGGCTCAAAACATGGTTTGATCTTATTGAGGGTAAAATTATATAGAAAATGACCTGAGGGGAAACGAAAATTGGTTCAAGTTAGCAGGAGTTCGAGTTATCGGGGGTTTGAATTACCGAGGGTAAAATTACAGTGAATGTAGGACGGAAATTCAGGGGAAATCGATTTTGGTTCAAGTTAGTGCGAGGTTCGAGTTAGCGAGGGTTCAAATTATCGGGAGTCGACTGTATTTCAAATCACAAGCTTACCATCACCACCATCAGTTATGTTGAGTCTAAACCGTTGAGCGATGTCGTTATCATCAATAACATGTCTTTGTTTGGAAGCATCTGGATGATCATAGCCTGCCCTGAGAAAGAAGAGGATGAATGAATGTACTCTCTCTGAGAATACTGCCATCATACAGAAACTCACAAACTTGTCCATCACACATTGTCAATGAGTAAGATCTGTAGTGTTGCAAATAACGCTTCTGACAGGGTGCAGGAAAAAGATTATAATATTGTGCAGGATTTTGGAGGCAAATTTTGTGGGATAAAACATAAATTGTGCGGAAATTGTGCCGGGTTGTACATATTTCTCAAAAACAAATAATTTTGGAATACATGACTACTCAACTCATCCCAGATGTGAAAAAAGTGCAATACGTATTACTGGTGCTTTTTACCTATTAAATAATTAATAACTGTTAAATTGTTTGAATTCACATATCAACTAGTCTCCCTGACAGCCTATATCAACATTTTAAATTATTTTTGTGTCATACTCTTTTGATCTTTTCAAGTGTGAAGATACAGTTGTATCATGTTTTGCCCCAAAGCTCACCTACTATTTCACTAACTTCCCTTTTTCACCCTAGTTTTCTGGGTATTAAGCCTTGAAATGTTGCATGCACCTCAAAATTCAGTTGCAATAGTTAAGTAGTCATTTTGATTACTTAACACACTTCATCTAATATCACACAAGGTGTCCTTTTTATGGTAAACAACATTTCCGTTCAGTGACTATCTTATAACTTAATGTCAGCATTATTTTATAGCCGACTTTAAAAAATGCTGAATTTGAATGCAAGGTTCTTACCTGGACTGTGATACTGCAAGGGGAGGGGCAGGGGGAGGGGCAGGGGGAGGTGGTGCTCCAGCTGGCGTAGAATGGGCAACAGAGGCACGCTGAGGTTGAATACTTGGAGGCTGCCATGTACTACCTCCAGCAGGTGAAGTGCGACCTGTAACGACAGCTTGAGGCTGAGATATTTGAGCAGGTGATGACACTGCACCAAATGGCTTGGCCTTTGCATTGAACTTGTGATCAGACTTTGCCGAATGGACTGTTTCTGTTACCACAACTGTTTTAGTGTGATCTTTCCTATAAGAAAAAATATTTATTTTTTTTTAAAACCTTTTCATAATACTATTGTTCTTCAAGATCCTGTCATAGTAGATGATTCACCTGATTCAAAAAGACTAACAATTCTGCCAGCTAAAATTTGCACCCCTTAGGAACTTTATCACAGATGTGCTAAAGCATTATCGATTAATAATACAGTTAAAAAAGGTAATGCAGATTGCTTCTTTCACACCTCTCTAGACTTTATCTTAGAGATGGTCAAAGCTTCTCAGAAGTAACACCTTGTAACATAGTACGTTTGCCTTGCTTTAAACCACGGTAAACACTGACAACTCCCCTCACTTAAGCTGCTTGCTCATGGTCCCTGCCACAGACAAGCATCACCACATTTTCAATGTCTGTACAGAAGAAGTCTCTCTTAGTGGACACATTTCCTTGTCACAAGGGGTACGTGTCACTAATGCAAGGTACAACAGGACTATTTTCTGACACAGCCCACACTAACACAAATGAAGGGAAGAATCAGAAATGTTATTTACAGTCAAGCCACGTCAAGCATACCCGCCAAGATCCCATTAATGAATTTATCATTCGAAAGTTGAATCCGATGGTAGTTGTAGATTTGAGATTCATCTCTGCATTCTTGAATGTATAATGAGCCATGAATTCACATGTGAGGCAGTTATGAAATTTCTACCAGCTCAGTTTCCCAGAATTTGATGTAAATGTCTTTGAAAAAATTATATTCATTCAAAGATTTTCAATCTGACCAAATACAGAGAAGTTCTCGTAAAATATTCACTACTCATTACGCATGCAGGAACGCTGATTTGAATTTGACACTAGTTACGGGAATGACTAACGGATTCATTTTCGAAATAATCAATTCATTAATAGAATCTTTGGTGGTATGCTTAACCTGTCTTGACTGTAAACAATACATCTTTATATCACAATAATTTGTACACTTTTTAAGCACTGGTTCTAGTTTGATGTATTAGCTGATACAGTTACAGAAAGAGCATTTCAAAAGGCAGATCAGCCTGCAAAGAAAGTAGTGTCTGATAGCTAGCAGCTGGTGTACATTGCTATCAGGCTAGTGAATTCTGTTCTTTACTTAACTTGCCGACAGGCAAGTGATGGTTTTTTGGGGATTTCAAATTACAGAAGAACTGTAATCAATCCTGCTCATCAACTGAAAGCTATTTGTGGGTAGGTGAAATTATTTTTGGGCTAGTACATGCAAGCTACAGCTTGCCTAAGCTGTAAAACCGACTTTCTTTGCACCTTGCATCACTGTGGATGCATAGGTGATAATGGTGTGGCGTGGGATGAGTTTGGAGCATTTTTAAGAGAAGATGGCTTATTGTAAGGATGTTTTTGTAAGCCTGCAAATACAGCCATCTCCTCACCACCAGGGATGTTTCACAGGAAAGATACCCGCTCCTCAGTGGCAGAAATTACATACTGATGACGTAAACCAATGTTTACATAATTAAACCGATATTCATGGGGTTCCAAATGTAAATTTGTTCAACTTTATGTTTCCTCTGGTCAACTATAGTAAAGTTTTGTGTTCTTCTGCAAACAAGCTCCGACAAAACCCAAATGCTTCTTCTTAAGAAGAATATGTTACACAAATATTGACTGTTCTGTAGTTGATTCATTGTGTTTACATTTGACCTTATGTGACCTTCTGTCTTTTGCCTGTCATTCGTAAACAATAGCTAAAACAATAAAACTACTTTGTCAACCAATCAGAGCTCCTGAGTACATTCTGGACAGATTTTAAATCCTCAGTATGGAATTTCTGTCATTGTGGAGCAGACTTCTTTCCTTGGAAACGTCCTTAGGGGTGAAAAGTGAGGAGAGACAGCTGTATTCACAGGCTAAACCAATCAGGTCTGCATTGTCAATAATTATTTTCCACTCTGCACTGATGGTTGTAAACAGCCATCACGAAAGAGACAACTTGGGAAACCATTTCTGTGGTAATTTCCCCCTTCACTTTGCTAACAAAAGATCAATGAAAAACCCTTAAATCAGTAGTCATTGCTGCTGAGTTTATTAGTGAAGGCAAAGCGACCAAGAGGCAAAAATGACAATGTGTTCAGTGCTTGATGACATTTTCCATTTCAATTTTTCATAACAACGTGTAAATTAAAATAATATTGAATCTACAAAACAGACACGATCAGCCACTCACACGTCCAACTTGCTCCGCCTCTTCTCAGAGAGGACCCAGGAGAGTGGCAGAAAACAGTAAATAAGGTGTGGAAAAGATGAAGGCAATACTTCCCCCGGGCCAAGTTGTTCAAAGCCAGGTTAAGATAACCCAGGGCTAGTGCCAGATTTGAATTCAGATTTGAAAGCTTAAAAAGAATTCCCGTTTTAATTCTTTTTGTCTACAAGTTGATGATTGAAAGCTCTAAATATAACAGAAAAAATTATCCGCAAAAATGCTTTTGAGCACAAGAAAGAGAAACCCGGATTAAATTTAACCCCGGGTTAAGCGCTAATTGGCCTTCGAACAACTGGGCCCTGCTTCAAATCTTTGTATGTAGCATATATATGGGAAATATTTTTGTGAGAATATCTCAATTCCAATTTTACTTCTCAAATGATACATTGTACAACAAATGACACTTTTTGAACTTAACAAACCAAATTGCTGTCCTTTGGGAAAAAATTACAACAAACTTTTTCACTAACCCAATCCCATGGAGAAAGATCCAAAATTTCTACCTTGCAAATGTACGTTTTGTGCTAAACAACTCAAGACTACTTTTGGAAGACTGTCTTTTCAAAATATTGCTCTTTTAAAAAATAACACATTTTTGACACGAGACACCAATTACAGTGACAAACTCTAGATATGAGTGATAATAAAGATGTTCTGAGATAAAAACATACTTCTAAATTTGTGGTCCTAATTAATGAGCTCACTGACCCTTGCAATTGTAGCACACTCCAACAAAAGTTTCATCTAATTTAATCGGATCCCTTTAAAATCTACAGTTTTGTCATCTTAACAGAAAACGAACGTCCAAGTGCCATACTTAACTAGATAGATATTACAGATACTTTTTAGAATGACTGACCGAGAAAGCTGATGTTTTAAGTTTACTTGTGAACACTGTTCGAGCTTGCTTCAGAGTCGCATGGGCCATTTGTTCACATTTAGTATGTTAAACCATGATAGTTTCGAGCGAGGTAAGCTTATGGAAAACGAAACTTGTGAAAACAATAGTTTAGCAACTTAGTTTAACAAAATCACAAAAACACGGTGTATTGATGGAACAAAGCTGCCCATTTTACAAACATCACCCTTAAAATTCAAAGTCAACATCACAGCTTAGCTTCGTAGATCTCGAGTAAGCGCATTACGATTGAATTACATTTCAAAATACACCCAAAGGTTTCGATAAGGAAGCGCGAGTCCTTCACAAGCACAAAAAACATTCTGTTGACGAACGCTGTACTTGTCGACATTGGAAGGGTAACAAAGATTCGCTGTAAAAAACGCCCCTTACACACGTCAACTTTGTGCAAATACTAGAAGTTTAATTGTCCCCTGGTGTGAAAGATGTAACAAATTGAATGCTGAACAAGCCAAGAATATTGACTGCTCATTTCACCCGCAAAAATTGTCAAAAACCGCCAGCTAGTCAATACAGGAAGAGAAATTTGTACAGCGAGGTTACTTTGATTATAAATATAAATTTTTACTTTATAGTTTTGTAGCAGATCTACAACTTAACACAACTTACTTGTCCAAAAGAAGGTCTAGATTCAGCCCAGCCCTTCTCACGGCATCCTGAGCGTCAAAATGAGTCATATTATCCGAAGATGCTCCATTTATTTCAACGATAAAATCCCCTGACTGTACTCCTGCGACATCAGCTTTAGATCCTGGTGTAACCTTCAAAAGAAAGTCTCAATTAAAGGCCACTAACTACGAGCAGAACAAACTAACCCAGAAGACGACTTGGCGAAACCCACACACGGCACAAGCAATGTCGATGTCTTTACCTTGGAAATGGCAAGCGGACTGCCGAAATCTTTTCCACCTTGAAGTCGAAAACCCCACGGCCCACCTCCTCTGAGTGAAGCCGTGTACACACCACCGGCCATTTCTCAATATTCAGTAACAGGCGTGAATATTTCGTCTACAATTCTCCATACAACTTACTGCAAACATCTCAAGAGCTCAGAGGCCCACGGAAAGCCATCAGCGGGTGGAGCGACTTCCTCATTGGTCAAAACACAATAGTTCGACTGTAATGGTATTTGATTGGTTTTGGTCACACCCACTTAGTATGAATGCGAAAACTGTGCCGTAATAACAGATTTTTGCAATTGTACAGTCACGCACAAGAATTCCACATTCAAGAAATGCGGCAAAACTGTCATAGGAAGCCAATAAAGGGAATAACATAGGGGAAGGACTGCATACGTCATATGATCAGGAAATTCGAGAACCGACGCAAGGAAGGTTTCGTCAGCTGAAATACCCGGTGGTGGTCGGTAGTGGTGGGTCCTACCCTACATAACAGGAAAACAATATGACATCTGTTGTCTTTTCTATGTTTTGATAGAGAGCGTCTTGGCCATACTATATTTGGCAATGCTAATAGGTAGCTCATATAGGGCATTCTAGTGCAGGAAATTTGAAGCGAAAGCCCCACCCAACCTTGCCCTCTTTCTTTCTTTTTTTTCGTTTTTACTACTCTCCCCCAATTTTTTTGCTTTACTCATGCTGGACCTTTCATACGCTGGCTTTTCCACAGTCAGTAAGAACTCTCCAGACACTTTTCGGAGGCTATGAACAACATCAATTGAACCAGTGTCGGAAAAGGTAGGTATAAAAAGCAATAAAAAGTAATCAATTTTTATACTTTATCAAGAAGGAATGAGCCATCGTCTATCTTAGAGAAAAAGTAATCATGCAAAATAAGATCGTTCTTATTGCCACTAAAAATGTATGGATATTTGTCAGTTGTCACTTTTACCCCCCTACATCCTTTAAGTGCGTTTTACTTTCTTCTACGGTTTCTCATCATATAAACTATAAATAATATTACTCAGTTACGTCACGCAACGCTCCTCCTTGAAATCTGAACTTGATACAACGCCAAGAAAAATTATTACAACGGGCAAGTGATTTTTTTTAGCAATTTGAATAACAGAAGAACTGTTAAAATCAATTCTGCTCATCAAAAAGCTTTTGGGGCTAGTTGAAATGATGTCTGGGCTAGTAAGTTCTAGCTTCAGTTTGCCCGAATGACAAGCTGTAAAAATGATTTTCTTTGCACCCTGTATAGACGTTGTGCATAATATTGTGAAAATTGTATTACATGAAAATTACATGCATATTAAAGTAATCTTTGTTGAGAGTTGGAGCATATGAGAAAAGCACTTTCAGTTCTGAAGAGTGGAGCCTTACAAAATAAAATGAAAAAACCAATAGCTGGGACCTTTATGGCCTACAATTAATATATTGTAATTTTATGCCCACCTCACATTGGAACTCACTTTTTGACAACTATAACAAATACATGTTAAATACATGGATCCTGCTGCTTGCTGCTTACTTATTTTGCCCAGGAAACCAGGAAGGGGAAGAGAAAGTATGAGTCAGTAAGACCAATGTTTTCATCATCATTGATCAGTTAAGAAAGATAATTAGTTTAGGCTAAGAGATGAATTCAAGAAGGTAGGGAGGTATCAAAACAATTTCAGTTTGTCGCAAGTATGTGACAATGATTTCAAAAGTTTACGTCTTAAAAGAGATCCAACCCTTAATCGCCTATTCACCAGAAGAATTATTTTGTTGTCCAAAGCAAGCTTCCCTCTCTGAACCAGTGCACTTTCAGTGGTTTCAGAGATTTATGTTGAAGACTGGACGAGAGTCAATAGTTAGCATACAACATGGAACGAGGTTGAGGGGTGGATGGAAATCACAGTATTATAACTTGTTATGAGGCTTTGATTTTTACCTTTATTCTTGTTCTTGACTTTGTTTTAGTGGAGGAGCAGAAACTTGCTTCAGAGGTGAGAATGTGTCATCTTGGGTTTTGAAAAAAAATAATGATAAATACACCTTATTCGATGGTTTAGCATATAATACGTGCGGATATTTTGCGAGTTGCGTAAATACGAGCTATGAGCAAAATGTCCGCTCGTATTATATGCTAAACCATCGAATAAGAGGTTTATTATTCCACTACAAAAAAAAAATTATCTGGCAATTGGCTTCTATTTTTTGGTAAGAGTATTCAGAGACATCCTGATTCTGTCTGTGAGAATGGCGTTAACAATTAGCAAAATGTTCGCGCTTATTATATGCTAAACCATTGAATGAGAGGTTAATTATTTTACTGCAAAAGAAAAATGGTATTTTGGCTTCTATTTTCTAATGAGAGTATCCAAAACATCCTTATTCTGTCAGCCACAGTTGCTCCTTTTGCATCCGCCGATATTCGCCCTGTTGTAAACCTGTTAAACCAGGACACTACGGTATATTACGGCCTCGTATTTTGCTTGTTCTCTTGACCTTATATGGTAAAATGACATAATAGTGGAATAACAAGGTAAGTTAATAATGAATAGCGTTCATTTTGACGAGATAAAGCATATTCGCCATATGGTCAGGGCCATAGGAATTGTGTGTACAGCTACGTCACTTACGTCACTATCACTATCATCAACATGATACTAAGCAGCCTGGCCTGGGGGGGGGGGTAATTAGCAAAATTTTAAATGGGAAGACTCCACCCCGAGGTCCAACCCCTTACCCTTTTATATACTATTTTTGACAGAAAAAGCACTTCTTTAGCTCTATCCCTTTTATGTGCTGTAAATGCACCCTCTTTTAAATATGCATAAGTCACTAAACCACTAAAACCTGAAAAAGTACCCCTTTCAGGCAGGGGGCCCCCCCCACCTCCCCCACCCCCCCGTATAGGCCACTATAGGTCTTCCTCATGATCAGACCTGAGTTTGCGACACCCGCGATTGTAAGTCTGGGTACGGTTAGCCACCCTCTTAGTTGCTATTCTCGTACCCAGTTCTCCTACGGCCACATTTAAATCTAATAGACCTCTTTAGCTTGTTTGTTTTGTTGTCCCAATACTAGACTGCAAAACAGTCCGTATTTTTACGTGTTCAAGTACGCGCGAGCACAACCTCGTCCCCAGGGCTTTTCCCTCAAAAAATGAGGGAAAAGCCTTGGGGACGAGGCTGATTTCTTTACTGATTTTGAGAAAAAACCGACTGTTTTGCAGTCTATTCTAATACGGGTCATGCATATGTGTTCCGTCTTATTCACGTGCATAACTAAGGATAATGTGTGAAAAGACAAAGGGACAAGCCCCCCCTGTACCCTGGCTCCAGAGGTCCGTTCTCAAAATACCTAATATGAAATAAACCGGGCTTACGGTTTCATAAGGCTCCGCACCTCGTTCACGGGGCTTCGCCGCGAACGATCAGTATCGGTAAGAAAAAATATCCTCTAGAACCCAGGATAGCCCCCCTGGGGCTTCTATTGGGAAAACAAAACATACAAGCTAAAGAGGTCTATTGTTAAACATGGAAAAAAGAAACATAAATATGAGGTGCCGTTTTTCATCTTCCTATTTTGACGTCCAAATTGTCATCAGTTGGAGTCTTTGGAGTGGTTTTCTTCGTGCCACATTATTCGGAAATAGCGAATTTTTTATTTTTGTTCTTGCTTCTTTTTTGCTGATTGTTTCTTTCTATCCTTACTTACTGTATTAGTTACTGTAGTTGTTCAGGTTTTTATTTGTAGAGGGCCATTGTAAAAACTACCGAGTAACCGGTAATGATGTATTTACCATTCTTGTCTTGTCTTGTTGTGAGAATAAATTATCTGAAATTCCGTGTTCCACAAGGAACCACCTTGAGACACTTATATCAATGAGCCACCTGGTGTTATTGAACACTCCGAGGTATCAGCGTACGCTGACTACTACAGTTCTCTACCGGTTATTGATTAAAAAACACATCATCCGGGAGGGCAAGTTAAATGCAGATCCCTATAACTTAGCGATGTCCGCTACGAGCGTACCAACCAACCGAACCTTACAAAGACCGTTGAAATCTAGGTAGCAAAAGAAAATTACAAAATATTTTCTTACTGTCTCTGTCTATTCTGACTGTACGTTAGATAACGTAAATACGAAGCCTTGTTGTATCAGTTTTTTATCTCAGTGTTTGAGGCGATAGGAACAACTCACCACAAAGTTGATAGAACACGATCGCAAAAACCACTGGATACGGGCAACTTTATTCGTCAGCTGTAGTTACTGGTGCCCTTGCCACTTCAAGAGTGGTTTAACCTAGAACAACGTAGATTTTATTTTCGGTGTGTAAATTACTGTTTTCTAGTCTCTCAGATAGTAAGAACGACACGAATCATGATGATAATACAAGTCACGTGAAAAAAACGCGCTTGCGATTTTTCATTTCACTTATTACTGTAAGACTGCACTACTATATGTTGGAGCCTGAAACAGGTTATGTATACATGTTTCCAGGTGTACTAATGGCATTACGGATCGTTCAATGGAAACACTAATAAACCGGGACGTTCATAGTTCAGTATCTACAAGGAAAAAGACATGCTTAGGCTACCAGAAATTGGGGGAGCAGAGAGTGTTCTACCACTCATGATCTGAAAGACTGGATAGAAAATCTAGAAATGCAGCTAATTACGTCGTTACGACGGGAATGGCCTAGGCGGTCACTGAGTTCTGACAAATGAAAAGCGCCCTTAAGAATGCAACCATTAATTTTTTTTCTTCTCTTCCTTTCTTGCATTTTGCTCTTTCTTCTTCTAATTTCCTTTCTCTTCACTGGTGTGATTTTTGAGCTAATTGGGCGCAAAAATCCTGCCTTTTGGCCCATTTTCACTCGAATGGCTGCAAATTTCATTAGGTACAGTTTTGAAAAAATCGGCTAGTTGGGATATAATTTTCTATTACTTTCTATATAGCTAATTTGTATTCAGTGCAATCTTACGTAGGACTTTTTTTAAAAAACCAAAAAATATGATCAAAAGCTTCCTCATAAAAGATTATCATCAGTATTATTATTTTCACCATAGTAAACAG